AAACAAATCTAAACCATTTATTGTACAAGTGAATGGTCCTTTTAAAGATTTTCAACTCAGCAGCCTGTAAATATTAATTTGTAAAGTTTTTACATCACAATATATGTATGTGCAATTTTTGTGACTTTTTACGTAAAATACATGCAATATTTCTTTTCTTTTTTGGCATACGTATTACGAGATTAACTGCACTATATGAATCGCCTTCTGGTTTTGTCTCTTCTATCAAGCCCTGGTTACAAAACGGCTGCCCGACTAGTAATAGAACCTCGGTCTGCCGCGTGATTGGCAGGGACACTTTCCACTATGCCAAATGTCACAGGGGGAGATGTCACAGGGGAAGAAAGATATGCAGCCATACCGGGAATCGAACCCGGAACCCCTTACAGGGCTAGTTCTGTCCCGTCCGAGATTGCACATCATCTGGCTGAATAGGATTCGTACCGTAACATTTAATTATATATGTGTAATTTCAAGTATGTCATTGTGTAATTAGATTCAAACGTCTTATTCATTCGCAACAAATAGCAACCATACTTTATAGGATGTATTATGGATTTTAAAAGGAATATATATATATGATTGTTATTTCAAAAATAATAATTGATCTTTGTAATCAATGCTGACTTATTTTCTCGTTTTTTTTAGGTTTTGACTTGTGACTTTTCACTTATAATTTATCACTTTTTACTTATGACTTTTATCACTTATAATTTATCACTTTTTACTTATGACTTTTATCTTTTGACTTATAACTTTTGCCATTTGCTGTTACTCTTTGCCTTGGTTTAAACATTAGTTTTACTTGATTTTAGATTAATGCAAAATAAGCAAATGTGTGATACAATCACCAAACGCAAGAGAGCACATCGGCCGGGAGTGGTGTTGAAGTCATATAATGTTTACAAGTACATTTAGCCACTAGCCTCATTTTTGCATTAGAATAATTGCATTCATATGTTTTTATCATTGTTGATCTTTTTTTACATGAAGAATCAAAATCAATTGTTTATGTGAAATCATATGTATAGAAGTTTTAATTCGGAACATTCAATTATAAGTGACGTCTGCAGCATTAAGTATTAAACTAAATAAACTATTCTTGATCAATAACGAATTTTTTATTCAGATTAAAAAGTTCTGAGCTATTTTCTAGATGTGTAGCTTTATTACAAATTTTTATTAACATTTTACATCTTGAAATAGATTATTTAATTCTTTGTTGAATTTAGTCACGGTTGACTGGTACGCTATTTTTCCGTGTTGTACAAGCTTAGGCATTATAATATTAAATTAAAGGAGATATATACGGAATATTATGTAGTAGTAGCTTTTTAAGACTTTGTATTTTGCTACGAGCAGCGGTGGAAAATTGATATCTCGCGAGACCGAAGGTCGAGTGAGATATCAATTTTCCAATGTTGCAAGTAGAAAAATGCATAGCCTTAGAAAGCTACTACAACATAATTTTACTTTTATTATATACATTTTCGTTTTTAGTAAAATGATTTACATTAAACTACACTTCTATAAGAAATTTCAGAAAATGAAAAATAAATTTATGACTGACGGATGAATACGTACGAGGGGTGTCCCAGAATTACGTGGACTTTTGCTATATCTTTTTTATTTTTTAATGCATTTTTCGTATATCTTGCGTATTTATACGTAAAAAATGGCGCGACGTCGTAATTTATGCAAAACCGGCGACGCCTCTTATAATTTTTGTTCCCGTTTCCTAATGTTACGTAAGGCAAAGGTAAGATCGGAACCAACGTCAAAAATAATCCGGCATTTCCAAATATGGTTCCGTATTTGTCACTAACATAATGCGGAATTTTCTATCCGTTGGAATAAAATTTATAGGTATAAAATAAAATATAGAAAACGGTTTTGACACAAATATGACTTGAAAACTCTTGATAATTTCTACTTCAAACTTGTACTTATTTACATTATCATATTAAATCTGGTCCTGAATGATAAAAAGACATTGTCCTCATATGTAGACAATTTATTATTGTTTTATTGTAACTTTGTTATACATGTAACCAAAATAAACTTGTAATTTACCACCTGAATAAACAGTATTTAAATGATACAGAAAATTTATTATCTATGTAGAGATAGTGTTCCATTAAAATTATAAGTAAGAGGTTGAAATGAGCAAAGTAGACATAGAATAGCAAAGAAAACTGTGTGGAACCAGCCAACACCCTCAACAGACTACCTAAATATATCTCTACCGAGAGACCACACTACCAAAGGTTTTTACCTCACGGTAGACCGTAACAGGTTGGCAGAGCTATCAATAGTTTTTTTGTAATAAATGCGTTTAAACAGATAACAACAAACATTTTTTATTCTACAACCGTAACAAAATGGTTGTCTTATAAGTAAAAAAATGTATTAGATATGCTAAACAAACTGCATTTGAGCTTCATTATATTTAATTTAAAAAAAAAAGAGATAAGAAATACAGAGGTAAGGATTATTTTCTAAAATAGCACATATGCCTTACTTAAAAGCTAACACTAAGGCACAGCTAAAAATAAACACTGCCATCAACAAAAGTATTTACGTCACAGAAGACATATTTCTACAAAACAACACATTGTTGATACGTTACTGATGAAAAACTAAGAAAATCATGAGTATTCTAACGAAGCTTTTGAAAACATAAGATAAATTAGGTAAAATAGCAACGCTAGAGTGTCTGTATTATTATTGAAGTCAAGATTTTTAAAATCTTTGTCAGCGCGTTATTTCTTCATTTCTAAATGCTCAAAAGAGAGAAAAAACAAACACAGTCTCTAGCTAAAAATTTCCTAGTTAACTTTAAGAAACTGTATACATTGTATAATGTGTATATTAAATAACGTTCACAAGTTTTTTTCCGAAGAATGGCCGACTTTATATATGTAATGGAAATCTCATTGTCTTTCGTAATGAGCATACCCCAAACCCACAGACTGTCGAAAAAGGAGAACGATTAAATGTTAAAATCAAAAATTTTGTTAACAACACAATGCACTCTGTCTCGCCGAGATGTATCTGCCAGTAAATTCAAATATTATATCATAACTGGTTTATGGGACCATATTTCATAAACCTTCTGACAAAACATTTTAGCTTTAAAATTTGCATAAGTATGTCGAGTCGTGAGCCACTCATACGAAACTTGGTCATTGACCTTAAATATCAACACTTAATATGTGTTATAAGTTTCAAAGGAATCGCTAAAATAGTTTTTGAGAAACCATTTTTCATGAAAATTCTAAACCATAAAGTCAAAGTCGAAAAAAGGCATAATTTGATAACAATGCAATTCAGAGAGTTTTAACTTAGAGCATGTTCTAAACAAGTGTGTGAAATTTCAAAGCTGTATGGTTTATTGTTTTTGAAATACCATGTTTCATGAAACTTCTTAACTACAAATTTTTTTGTCAAAATAATGCCTATAATTTGGTCTATATTCAATAAAAGATGGACGAAGAATGAAAGAACGGGTGAAAACCGATTAAAACTGCAGCAAACAACAATGCGAGACTGATTTGGATTTAAAACTGGAACCCATATAAGAAACAAAGCGTTTGATTCATACGCTGTATGTCAATTTGAGATTATATATCCCTGTTCCGGAAATCAAAATAAAAGATGTATACCCAATGCAATGCAATGCAAGCAAAGTATTTTCTGTTCTTAATCAATTTAAAAGACTTATACAAGAAAAACATTATGTTCTTGCATATGAGCCCACATATATTTTCCTTTAATAAGTCTCAAGGAAACTTAGGTAAATGAACTTACCTCGTTTGAATCGTTGTCATATTCTGCCATATTTTCCTTGGAAATTATGGGGCAAGCACGTGGGACAATAACAAAATCCATAAGTCCAAAATCAAAAGTCATAAATCAAAAGTCACAAATCAAAAGTCATAAGAAAATAGTAAAATAAATCTATAAGTCGAAACTCAAAAATGACCCTCCAAGGCTTCCATAATTTTTAATATAAAGTATTTTATGTAAAATTTATTGCCTTTAAACTTAAATGTATTCCATTAAAAGCCAATTATACTCAACATCACTAATTCTGCGTCATCACTTATTTCACGGTAATGGCATATTTCCATAAATTGGTCAGAATTGACATATTTTATTCAAACACCTAAACAACAAAGTTTTTGTGCAAAATATTTTAAATCTATAAAACATAACAACATTTTACAAACTTCTGCCAAAAGCAACACTAGTCCGTTAAATTTGTGCATACGTCATATTCTAAATGTTTTTGTTTGTTGAAAAAATAAATATTGAGTTACAATGTAAAGATAATATTTTAATATTTAAAATTATGCAAAATAACACGTAGAACTTTGAACTGAAACATGAAAAATAAAATGAAATAAAACACCATTACCGCGATTTAAATGATGACATACTGTTCTCAAAATGGCCGACATATGGTCTACGTCTGGCCCATTAAAACTGATTTTGACTAAATATATTGTTGTTTCCTTGTGTCATGCAGTAAAAAATACCTATATGTTACAGCTTATGACATTTTTGTACCATAGTTTCATGTGTTGTTTTCTTTCTTTCTTTATTACAAAGAAGTTAGTCAATGAGATAATGAATTCCGAAATGAAAATAATGCAATATTCTAACTGAATTAAAGAAAACAGCGTTATAATAATAGATCTAAGGTTTTTATAAACATTTTGAAAGCCAAATGTACTTAAACAAAGATTAATACAGCTATACTTATTTAGTATTTTGCATGGAAGTCAAAATATTATTTAATTTACATTTTACTACTTTAATGACAAAAAATGTAAAACATTGCTATTTCTGTAGGTGAACAGCATCTATAACATGCCTATTAAACATTAGTTAAAAGTTATAAATTTCTTTGATCTTATTAGAGGAGAACAAAATATATTATTATCTGAGACATAATGTGCCTTTTATACACTTTTTTTCACATTTACAATTTTCAGGATGGTAGGCTAATGGAGACATAAGTGAAACTTCTACTATGGGTAGGGAGAAAAAGGTGAAACACAAGGTCAAGATCACTATAGAAGATACTGACGCTAACAGCAAATATGCAGACGACACTGGCTGTAAATATACAAACGACACTGGCTGTAAATATACAAACGACACTGGCGGTAAAGGAGCAAACGGCACTGGCGGTACAGCAGCAAGCGACACCGCCATTAAAGCAGCCGATGACGATGATTCTGCTTGCAGGGTGAGTAATATCTTAATCAAAACATATAAACAGTACGTACAGAATTTGTAGGATCCATATTAATGTTATAAGAATAATTTTAACAGAAAAACAAAAATTTTCATCTTATGTATGTCTTAGTAGATTCATTAAGACTGTTGGTATTTACTTCATTTCTTTTTAAAATCTTGTGACTTTAAAGTACTTGTGTATGTAATATATTTAAAAATAGAGCTAAAAATCCCACCTGCAGAAACATGCGGTTCAAGACTATAAGTCTACATGAAAAAAAAAATGATTTCAATAAAAATGGCATTGTTGCAAGGGCGAATATTACACTCATTAGGATTGTAGCGTATTTGCACCTCGTCTTCGCTTCCTGGAATCAACCAGTATTTGTATTTTATATGGTGAAAAATGTTTATGACTCAAAAAGGGCTCGAACCCAAGATGTCTGATATCAACAATCTAATACTAGTGTTCTAAAATTTTAATACCCGAAGCAGTCCGAAGCAGAACAATCAAAAGAATCAAATGAAAACTATCGAAATTAAGTATGATCACAAAATAAACATTTTTAAACTTTGAATATCATTTGGTCTAGTAAGCCATAGCTACCAGATAGGGCAAATTCTGTCAGAAATAACGAACATGCACTTTTAAATACATGTATAATAATGTACTTTACTTTATATACTACTTCTATGTCTGAAATATAAATTGTATATGTGATATGAGAATATTGCTTTGTTGTAATGGACATATGCCAAATAAAATCTCATAAACAGTACATAAAACAATATTATAATGCTTATATATCAACCATCAAGCTTATATTCTCAGTTACACTGTTTATATATTTATTTGTGTGTTTCCTCTTTCCGGATTTCTGCTAGGGTATTGAAAGAATTACATTATCAGCCTTCACCAGAAAGATAAAAAACACGGCAATGCTTTTTACTCCGTTTTATTTTGTTTACAAGATCGCGAGAAATATTTTCCTAAATAAATACTTGAGCGACATTTATGCTTTAGCATAGAAGCAAAAGTCAAATTGTTGGAAGATGTTGCCAGCATATTATGCCAAGTTTTGTAATGCTTTCGGCATTAACTTCACATCGTTTATAATACAAGTGTATGAAGGGGCTTGCAGTAAACAAGTGTTAATCTTTATTTTTTTTTTGTGAAATGATAATAACAGAACAACTGCGAATGATATTTCCAGAAAACGAGAAACATGGGAATGCAGGAATAACTCACACAATTCAAAATAGCTTGAAAAAAAATATAATAATAAAATCAGATTAAAGAAAACAATAAAATAACCACCCAAACAACATTTTTTACTTTACTGCAGTTATGATATTTCGAAACATTAAACTGTATTTGAAAAGGTATAAAGTTGATTATAAACTTAGAATATTTGACAAACTTGTTTAGACACTATACAAAAGAAGATAACAATAATATATTATCTAATCTGACATTAGCAAGTCATTCTTCTTGATATCTTTCTATATCTAAAAAAATATAAACGTTTGCGAAACGTGCGTTTGTGTACAACGGTTGGCTTATATATTTTAAAGCTGCATGCCTCCAGATGACCCAACAGATTTCAGAGAAAGATGTACTAAGATTTTAAGAAAAAGTAATTTACATGATATATGTATATGCATATTATGACTATTTTTTCTGCTTTAATCACCATATTTCTATTGCGTGACTAACGTGGTAAGGACTATTTGGGCATAATCTTACCTATTTTTTGGTCATTTTCGTAAATTTTAAGTGCCGTTTTCAGCGTGTAAATTACTTCCTTTGTTCACTAGACAATATATTGTACTTTTGAAACATTAAAAACTACATGAAAATAAGCATGAATCATGAATCTGGAGGCATGCCGCTTTTAAATCTACTTCAACTTTATACATTCATTTATTTTAAATCTGGACGTACGAGTATATTTTCCTCAAATATTATTTCATGATGTGTTTTTTTCAGGTCCCATTGACGAAGGGTATAAAAGCTAGAACAGTCGGTACAAAATCAGACAGACCTATAAAGAAACTGAAACTCTTCGCCATTATCATCTTCTTTTGTTCTGTGATACTCCTTGCCGCTGTGATTATTCTAGCCGTCCATATCGGCGTTATACATTACTGTTTCATAGGTATCCCAATCATTCCCGTGGACACTGAAAACCCTGGAGTGTTCCAGGACATGTCAGTGGACGAGTATAAGGCAGTCCTTGATTATATGCTTTACAAATCTAAGATAGGATTGACTAGATTCGAGAAAGCAACGGTAAACAGTAGTTATATTTATATGATAGATCTTCACATTCCACTGAAAACATCTGTGCTGGAACATTTAGACAGAGGGAGCATTAGAATAAAAAGAGCAGCAAAAGTAGTGGTGATAAGGGGTAACCTTGCCACGCCGAAAGTGGAAGAGTATTTAGTTTCACCCATTCCAAATCCAAGAACTCATATACTCGCAAGAAATCCATCGTACGCTCGATTTCCAATACCGTACACAAGCAGGCCGGTGGACAATATAGATTATGATCAGTTATTTAAAATGATAAACGATTTCTCCGAAAAGGCGTATCATATTTTAATTGAAAGTTATGGACTTTGCTATCATAACTGCACGAAAGGTGTAAATTGTATGATTTTTCGCGACGTCGCACCACGTGGTCAAAAGAGCGGACAAAGAGACACGTGGTTTTGGTCATTCCGAGATGTTGAGGGCTACTACTTACAGCCGTTGGGTTTGGAGCTTCAAATTAATCACACGTCTAATAATATCAAAGAGTGGAAAATTGACAAAATTGTTTATAACGGACAACTTGTGTACACAGTCAGAGATTTAATTGAGCAATACGAGTCTAAACGCATGAGAAAGATAAAGTTCGAAAACCCTAGTCGGCAACATAGGGATATATATTCATCGTATACTAGACGCGGCCAATCTGAAATGGCAAAACCTTTACAAGGACCTAGATTCTATGAACCCGATGCTAAAAGATACACAATATTTGGGCAACACGTGAAATATATGCACTGGGATTTTGACGTCCGGATGCGTCCCTCGACGGGATTACAGATTTTTGATGTCAGGTTTCAAAGTGAACGTATTGCATATGAAATAAGTTTACAAGATGCAGTGATATTTCATACGGGATATGGTCCATCACAGACAATATCAAACCTGTATCTAACATCGTGGATGATAGGAGCTTCATCTTTTGAGCTTGTACGTGGCATCGACTGTCCTGATACGGCGTCCTTTCTTGATACACATAACTTTGTAAACTCAGGAGTACCGTTACATTATAAGAATTCTATATGTATTTTTGAGGTAAACCCAGGTATTCCCCTACGGAGGCATTATACAAATAATTACGCGGGCGGATATAAACATTATGGAGGTATAGTTGATTACCACCTGATAGTGCGTCATATAGCAACCATATGGAATGGAGATTACATTTTCGATTACATCTTCCGACTAAACGGGGAGATAGAAATACGCGTTTCAACAACTGGGTATGTTCAGGCAACGTATAAACTTCCATTTGAACAACAGTACGGAAACCCTTTATATTTCGATGTAAACGCTAATGTGCATCAACAGTTATTTCATTTTAAGATAGATCTAGATATAGGACGTCAAGAAAATAGGTATTCAGTATTAGATGTTGATTTAGAAACAATACGTCATCCGTGGTATTCCAAATCAAATAAGACCCAATTTGTGCTCAGTGAACGGAAGATGGAGCGGGAGATGGACATTGTTGTCGACGATTCTGATAATCCGAGATATCATCTCATCTATGATAAATATTTACACAACAAATACAAGACAAAGCGAGCGTATCGTATTTTAAACAAAAGTAGTTCTAAATATTTACTTGATTATGTGCCTGTCACTAACGCGGCTAAATGGGCGAAATATCCTCTTGTTATAACAAAGTATGACGACACTGAAGATCTCTCTAGCTCTATTTATGCTCAGAACGATCCTTGGAATCCTGTTGTTGACTTTGAACGTTTTGTTTCTGACAATGATACAATTGTTAATGAAGATCTCGTTGCCTGGGCAACACTTGGAATGTACCATATTCCGCATACAGAAGACGTTCCGTCCACCTCAACGTCGTGGAATAAACTGTCCCTCCACCTTATTCCTTTTAACTTTTTCACGGAATGCCCAAGTGTTTCGTCACCGAGTGCGGTTCATATAACTCCAGATAAAAATAAGGAAAATATTAATGTAGACACGTTCGGCACCACTTATGAGAGCACCTGTGTACCGCCAATTTATGGACCAAGCACATTCTACGGGTACCGTGATGCGGAATAAATACAATATAATATTTGATTATTGCAATTAAAATTTCGTGTAAAAATGAGAAACAAAATCGATTGATTGATGAAAGTACATCAAAATTTGACAATGTATTTCAAAACTGTGATCCAATATTACATTTGTTTGCTCAGCTGTTGTCAGAAAAAATGTATTAATTCCTAAATCTTGTTTTATCAGCATGGAAATTCATTATACATGTATACCATAATTGTGCTTCTCGTGCCAGTAAGGAGGTAAAAAAGCTTATAAAGAAATGAATGACTTACATTTAAGATTGATCATAGTGAAATCAATATGTTTGTAGTTCTGCTTAGTTACTAATATTTCTAATGAGTATTTTTCAATTGTACTGGTAAGAACGTGTTAGCCAGAATACGTTAGCGCCCCTTTAGCAGCTTTGAATACACTTCTTCACTTCAAAGAAAGTGAACGGTAGTGGGAACATTTGACTGATGCGCAGGAGAGTACAAATAGCCGAATGACGGCACATCTCCGGAACATTACACACTATACAACCTTATGTAGTGCCTAGATGAACATTAAAATTTCAATGTAGTGTTTATATTCTGTGATATATAATTCTGTCTCATATAAACATCAAGTGATGTCATTATATCTGTTAGTGTCTCATTTACATAGTCCTATTCACAGTATTGTATAATTTTGTAATCTATTCATTACTGATTGTTTTACGATGTATTTTATAAACCAAAGATACAATAACAAACATTGTTTTCTTGTTTTTATTGTGTTTTATTAAATCATAACTGAATACTAGCAGATAGTCCGTGTCTGTTAAGTTCTAATGCTTTACATGAAGCCATGAGATATGAACTGATATTTTATCAGATTGGTAATTGGCAACGATGACTTAAAGATATACTATGCTCAAATTTAAAATTTGATATTAGAAAATATTGATAATTGTTACACAGTATCTTTGTAAATATAAAATAAACTGACATGTGCACACGCTTAACATTCTACAACCTATAGGTGGCCACAATATGAATTTACGTATAGTGTCTTTAGAAAAAAAAACTGGCAGTTTTTTAAGAAAAGACCAACTTTACTTGACCTTTAATACAAAACAACAACAACAACAAACAACAATTCGATTGATTTGGAAAAAATATTGTCGTATGATGCCAAAGATCACTACAAAATAACTTTGGTCACCTAATAAGCTCAGTCGGTAGACCATCAAAACTAGAAATTAGGTCTATAGGGACTCAACTGAGGTTATTTTTTTACATGACAGTGCTTAAAATACTTTTTTCGAGATTAATCTTCCATTTGATTATAGGTCAAGACCCATAACTTGTGTGCGAAATTTCAAATTATTCGCGCACTTCATTATTCAAGGATTACTTTTTTGAAAAGAGTTACAACGCTTTTCACTCAAATCAGGCCAAGAATGGCGCAAAGTTACGATTTTTATTTTTTCCCGACTATTAGTATCTCGCTTATATTTTGCATATATTTATACTTTAAATGACCCAGAGGATCTATGCAAGAAATAAAATAAAATGTTTTTAGGCTTAGTGGAGGTCCTTTAAACTGGCTGCACGTTTATCTCATCCTGTGTCATTCGCATGAATGGCTTTCTTAAAATCTTCTCGAATGTCAAAACAATACATGTACTGTGTATCTGAACCTTTATCAGTGTCATTGTTTTTGTACCATTCCGTCGTTGAAAACTGGTATTCCCGAAAAGACTTCTATCGTCTTACGAATTAGCGTTTTAACGTTATTTATATTTTACATTATTTCATACAAATTGTTTATCAAGCATTTTAATGACCTAATCAATGGGTATACGTCAGTAACTTGCAATGTCTTCCATTAGTTATATTGCAATTCATACGTGGATCAGTGACGGGTAGAGCCGAATATTCGCGACTGTCTGGTTGTCCAGCGCGATAGATATTATTCTAGACACCAAGACGATCATTTGTGGGTTACCAAGATTAAAAGCCAACAGTTTAAAGCCTGGAAAATATGTACGGATCACAAAGTTGATCACTTTCGTGCTAAAGGTTAAAGGTTTTGTAAGAGTTCGGATATAATGACAAATCGACAAGGAAGAATTGAATATCTGTTTATCATTGATAAAGTCACGGCTTTAATTGGGTGAAATATTTCGTAATTGTATAATTGTTTTTATCTATTGTGTTTTATCTCTTTTGATATCATATAATGATAAAACTTATGTTATGCAGATATCTACCTGTCACGAAACACTGGAGCTGACAATATATGAAAATATTTTACAAAGTTTATCTTTAACAAGGTTTAACTTTATATTTACATTTAAAGTAAAATTGTGAAGAGGTGAAATGTACAGGGCTGGTTAGAGGTATCAAAATGAGAACAAAGATCAACAAGGCAAGGACAACGTTCACACGACGCAGCCACAAAAAAGATATTCATGAACATCGGTTAATTCACTTGGCATGTGTATTTCTCCACTCCAGCTACACAGTGGACGCACACCTGAGTTCAGATAGTCTCAAAAGTTTGTCGCGGCATTGATGCAGCTTCAGATCAAGAAAAATTCTTTTCACATTCATTGAAGCATTTTCTCCTTTAATCCTTGACACTATGTCCTTGTGCATTGTTGTTGTAATAGTAATAATTTGCACTTCTGCTACGCTTTCAATCTCTCTATCCGTATCTGCCACAAGGCTTAGAAGAAGCTTAATCCAGCCTGATCTAGAAAGCTGAATATCTTCCAGGGATAAATATTTAAGGTTCTTTTGTGCACTGAATGTTGGAGCCATACCGTATCTTTCAAAGTTTATTCCAATCAAATAAACATACTCTAAATAGTACCATCTGGGTAACTCCGATTTTATAGCTTTGAAGTCCGGTTCATTCCAGATGAATGGTTTAAAATCGCCCAAAACAATTAAAGACAACGACATAGATTCAGATAGACGACTGATACACGAAGATAAATTTGAAACTGCTCCAGAAAGTCGAATTTCTTCAAGCTGAACAGAGGTAGGTAGTGTTGCGCGGGAAGAACGCACATCTTCTAATTTTAATTTTTTCAGATTGTTACAATTACTCAAATCAATTGCAATCTCGCAGTGGTGATTTTCGTGCCTGTTTTCCTCGCAAACAATACTTTCAAGCTCTAGTTCCTTCAGATTCGCTAATGAGTGTAAAATATCTCCCAACTCTTCAACGACTCTGTGACTCCCAGAAATGTTCAAAGACATGCCTGTTATATTCACAAGATGACTCATGGATTCCGGCAGTTTGTCTATTTTGTCAAGGCACAAAGATAGAGAGCGGAGTCTTTGCATTTGCAATGGAGTCAATTTATAAATTATGAGCGAACTGGTTTGGTCCAAAGTGAGTTTCTCCATTTCAGTTGTTTTGCAAATTGCAAGTTCAATTTTCTCAGTACTCTCTGCTTTTGGAAGATCAATGTAAATCGATCGTAAGCTCTTTGTGTTTTCATTCAACAACTTACAAACAGATTTATCCAACCTATCTGCAATAATAATATCATACAACTGGAACTCTGATGCGTCACTCATCATGCCAAAAATTGTACCAAAATTTGTTACTAAATAGTGGCGAGTAGAATTCTTGCTGTACCTATACTGCATCTCCTTTTGACATTCAAGTATCAACTGCTGAAGACTCTTTATCTTTCGGTATGACATAGAGACATCTTCTGAACTTCTAAATGAGTAACGACCTTGAAGTGATTGCCTATAGTTTTTAAGTTCCTCGTCCCTTAAAGCTACTGTTGCCACATGTTTCGAAATTATCTCTGCTTTTGTTGGATCTATACCACAAACAAAGATTAAAATCAACGACATTTCTTGTATCTTCTGTATAGTGCCTTGTTCTTTAAGAAAATGTTCAAGTTCTCTATGGCTTTTAGGATCTTTCCAACAAATCCATATTGCAGCTAAAAGCTCTTGCAACGTTTTATGAAAAAACTTGATACGACGTTTGGGTGAGTTCGGTTGCTGGCACGTCATATGAACCACTGATGAGAGCAAACCGGATTGTAAGCACTTTTGAGTATCTGCCTTTCCAATAGTATCACATACTGATCCTTCTTCAAAGACATAAAGAGATTGCAGGCAACACTCGTATGCAAACGGACATAGTCGTCGAAGAACCGGGGCATTGTGACTGATATTGCTTTTGTATGCTAAAGCACTTGGCAAGTTTGGGAAAGAGCTCACAACTTGCTGTGTTTCATTTGATGACGCTTCTTTAGTTTTCATTACGAGGTTTAAAACACCTATGTAGTTTAATGTTACTGAATCTTCTAACCCGTGTTCTTCGTACCAATGATAGACAAGGTACATTAAAATCAGCGGATTTTCTGCCAGTAACTGCATTTTGTATTTCATTAAATCGCTTAAGAAATACCGAACCTGTTCATCGACTGCTGGAGAACTATCTGTATGAATGATGCTCAGGAAGTTTCGTGCCAGTTTTTCAACGCTTTCCTTACTTAATGGGGCAATGTCTAATATTCTAGTGTTCTGTAGCTTTGACAGAAGGTACAGTTTTGAATGCCTTGTGGTCCACAATATTCTGCAAAAATTCAATTGATCAAATTTTGGTAATTTGTTTGAAAAGGCATCATGCCATTCATCAAGTCCGTCGATTATTACCAAACAATTATCTGGAATTTCCTTAAAACATTCTTCAACATCTTTCATAAGACCCTTGTTCTCAATGAATAGTTGTGCTGCTATCATTTTAATTACTGAGTCTTCATCGACAGCGTTCTGTATGGAAACAAAGTACAATAGATTAAAACGATCTAACAGCTCTTGTTCATACAGTGTTAAACTGGTGTCGGCATTCAAAGATTTCTGAACGGCTGAACACCACATACTGACCAATTCGAGACAGAAAGTAGTTTTTCCTCTTCCTGCCGAGCCAGCAATAACAATATGTCTTGTTTCCTCTTCAGCATGGAACAATTTGAAAAGTTTCTGATAATCTGAATATGGTATGTTAATATGACAATTTCCTGTTGATTCAATGCGATTATATATTTCAATAGACATGTCATCTAAATTCTCTTCAACGTAAATCTTCTCAACATCAGTTGCCCCAAAAGGACCAATCGGAAGGCTTTTCATATTTGTATATTCTATGTATGCTTTAAGAAGATAAGACTGGAGATTGAGAATGCCTGAAATAAAAAATACTATACATTCATTTTTAATACGTTCAACATTCAGTTTCATAAGTTACATTTAGGGAACAGATTTGAAGAGTAAGATAAAAAATACTTATCTCACTAATTTTTAGTTTTGCCGTATCGGAAATAACACTGATGAAACTGATAATTTATTCACTAAGTACTGCAAAAATTATACCTTAATCATCATTAGAATTTGTACTCACGATCATTTAGCTTTGTCTCGGGTGCACTGCTTTTAGTAATACTTGTCAGCAGTTCTAAATTGGATGCACTGTTTTCTGTAATGCTTGCCAGTCGTTCTACATCGGATGCACTGTTTTCTGTAATGCTTGCCAGTCGTTCTAATAAGCCTTGGATGTCATCTGAGGCAATTTCATCGCCATCAATACGTTTTTCCTTGACGTCCCTCATACTATTTGTAATCTCTTGAGCAAAATTTGCATCTCCAATACAATTCAATATGTTGACATATTCAGTTTCTAGATCAGTCCATACAGAACTAAATGCGGCATCATTTAGATTAAAGTTCGATGTATGACAGAACACGGTGTTTCGTGTATTTCTTATTTTATCTATTGCTTGCTTCTCAATCGAAGACAAATGACAGCAAATGTTTAACACCGCACATAACAAAGAAATATCCCATGTCTCTATATCGACGGGTTGTCCTCCTGCTGGATAAAGGCACTCATATTGATGTTTTTGAAGAGTGTATTTCTGCAAACAATTTTTCAATTTCTTCGAGTGAGTTTTGAGAAAGTTAGCAATACTACCGTGTTGGTTAACGTGTTTTTTGAGTAATTCCTTTAGAACGCTTGTACCGATATCAACTTGCAGACGAAGTGCGCGAATAAAATTTTTGTTTTCATTGGTATATCCCGCTGAAGCCATGGTATATTCAAATATAATTCATTGTCAATAAAGACAATTAACCTAAGTAAAAATTGATCTAAATGTAGTTAACTTTGGACTTAAAGTAATTAACTCAGCTACGTCTCTCAGCTTATAAAACGCCCAGAGATATGTTATCTGAGCTTCAATAACTATCTAAACTATCAACCATGATTAACTTCATTGAAATGATATTGTGACAATTAGTACAATTCACATGAAAATGTTATCAGGTATAATATATCAGATATTCAAGATAATTAAGATAGTAGGCTATGTATTGTTAATTGTTACGTGATGAGTGTTTAAATATAGTTTCGGTTTCTTCGCGTATTTGTCAATAGCCCAATATAAATCGAGGATGACATAGGTAATACTGCCTTGAAATAATTACGGAGCTTCCGTGGCCGAGTGGTTAAGGTCGTTAACTTCAAACCACTCGAATCCCGACAGTGACTTTGGATTCTTTCATGGGAGGAAGCTATCTAACTAGCTTACTGAACGTCAGTGGTCCTTTTGTGCCTGAAATACTGCACGGAAGGGCATCTGAGGTCTTTCTCCACCAGTTTATTAGCTGGATTGTCGCCATGTGACCTATATATACTGTGTCCATGAGACGTAAATCGAAATAAAAACAAACAATAAATCTGCTGGATATAGCATGTTCTCTGCCAAAAATATATGTAGCACAAACTATATGTAGATAATTTGTTGCCGAGAAGGAATTTAATTTATTTTCATGAAAAATAAAATTTAATGCTGATTAGCGGTATAAGTAATTTCTGTATAAACGAAAGTGGCCGAAGCATAGATAAAGGGGCGCCACTCATTATTGATCAGACTATCAAGGTTATTTTGGTGGTCTCCCTTTGTGAGCACAAACAAACAACTTGCCTCATCAGTATGAATGCACAAAAACACAAATAAAGGCATTCTATACAATGACGGACCTGTCGAATGCAATGGGAAATATGACTCAGAAACAAGCAGACTTATTTTCTACAAAATGACTCTTAAAAATATGCAATAAATGTTTGGTAATCGACTAAATACTATGCCTCCAGATGACAGAAAATCCACCTTGAGAATAATGTACTAAGATTTTAAGGTAAGTAAAATATTCAGAATTCATGAAACAATTTTCACGTTATATGCAATTAATGACCGATTTAACAGTAGTAATCAGCGTGACTAACACATTAAGGACTATTTTTGCATATTCTGACTTATTTTTGGTAATGTTCGTAGATTTTATGTGTATATTGCTTTCTTTGTTTTCTTGAAAATAATTTACTTTTGAAATAAATTCATGGCAATTGGGATGAATTATGAGGCATGCTGTTTTAACGTGCATTTTCCATATGGGCGGCTGTGCATATAACACGAACTTCCGGTACTTCTAAATCCGGAAACTTCTGAAGTAAAGACAAAAAAAAAAAACATGCTGGCAGAGACTGTATTCAATACTACATGTACTTTACAATGGAACACAAATTTCGGGTCCGATTTCAATCTTATTGAAATTCAGTAGATGAAACTGAACAATATGATCTCCTATTTTTGTTTATTTAGCTAATCATAATTGTATTCTTATAAAGTGGATTTCTGTTTAATTGTTTGTTACAACCATTTGCATATTACATGTCTTGTTTTAATAAAAACTGAAACTGAAGTTGTTGAAGTGACCACAGAAACCGTCACCTGCATACTGTTCAAGTTTGTTGTCTTTATATTCTCGTTCAATACATATATGTTCATACACTAGTATAATGCAACATTCGCACTGGTATGTAGTCAGATCATATGGCTTCTTACAAGATTTACTCTACCCCGATTTCCATCTGTATAAAGTATCAATTCATGATCGGACACATAAATGCAAACAACAACAGAAAAAAGAACAAAACAACAACCCCACCCAAAACAACAACCACAAAAAACAAACAACAAAAACAGCAAAAAAAAATATAATAAAAAAAAATAACCGACTTTCCATAAGCAAACTGAGTTGATTCCTCATAAGAGATACAATACACTATTCTCATTAAAGCAGCATGCCTCCAGATTTATGATTATTCAAAAGTAAAATACTGTCAATGAAACAACGAGAGTAATTTAAACATTGCAAATGGCACTATTAATCCACGTAAATTACCAATAAGAGATCAAAATATGCAAAAATAGTCCTTACTGCGTTAGTAACGCAGTAGAGATATAGTGATAAATACTACAAAATCAGTCGTTAATCGCAAACAACATGTAAACTATAACTTGAATCTTGAATTAACTATAACTTGAATGTTGAATCTATTTACATTTCTTAAAATCATAATACATTTTTTTTTCAAGAAATAGTTTGACTTGCAGCTTTAAGATTCGAGTACACAAAGAAAAGTAAGCGAGTCGAAGTGACTAAAATATCCATGGATACACGTTGCCTTTGATTTACAAATGCACTGTTTTGGCTGCAGACATTTTATCATCGATTTTGTATTATTTGTATTATTTTGAATTGTTTAAAACGTCTGTAAAACACATATAAATATTGAAGCTCATCCTAGTATGGATATGAAATGATACACGCACACGTTTGCCATTGTTTTAGAATAAGGCATCAGCAATGCTTTATCACCAGTGAAGCAAATGACCTTTCATATTGCAAATTGAAAAAAAAAAATTAGAACCTAGAATATCTAAGAAACAAAGGTCATCGCGTATCTAAGAAACAAAGGTCATCGCGTCCGCAAAACAGTACAGGTAAACGCAGTATGAGTACACGGTGTCATTAAAAACTGGCAGATCAAATAAAATGGAAAGAATCTTCCAAACAAAGGTTGTGCATTCTCTAATTAAAAGTAGATATATTCATAAAGTATTGCCTAGATTTCATTAAACGTCTGCAATTAAAAGTATTTTATCAAATCTTGAAGTTTGTAATATATATGAAAATTAAGTCATTTTCTGTCCAGCAGAAAGTCTTTTTTTATTATCATTTTTCACATTTCCATCTTTAGCACCATTGATATATTGACCCCAATTTGCTTGCAAATGGAAATGGTATTCCCGGTCAAGTAACAGCATGCCTCCAGATTCATGCTGATATTTATGAAAATTTTAAAATAAACTTAAATGTCCAATATTTTCAAATGAACAAAGAAAGTAATTTACACATTGCAAACGACATTTTAAATGTACGAAAATTACCAAATAGTAGGTTACAATATTAAGAAATAGTCCTTACTGCGTTAGTAACGAAGCATATGGTGATAAATATTGCAAAATCAGTCATTAATTGGATATAAAATGTTAATTATTTCTTGAATTGTGAATATGTTTAATTTTCTTAAAATCTTAATACATTTTTCTGCGGGTTGATTTTAAAATATTTATGCTCATCTTTATGCTCAACATTTTATATCCAATTAATGACTGTCAAGACGACAACAGTTTATGTTAGGTTTGAAAATGACAGCATTTTTTGTTAACTATGAAGTATATGTTAGCTTAAAGATGATAACATTTTATGGTTGCTATGAAGATGACAACAGTTTATGTTAGCTATGAAGATGATAATAGTTTATGTTAGCTATAAAGATGACAACAGTTTATGGTAGATATGAAGATGACAACAGTTTATGTTAGCTATGAAGATGATAATAGTTTATGTTAGCTATAAAGATGACAACAGTTTATGGTAGATATGAAGATGACAACACTTTGTCAACAGTTTATGTTAGCTGTAAAATTGAAGATACCAACAATAGATAGACGATAAGTCTGTTACGCAAATTGATCAACTCCATTACATACAGCTATGTTACATATATTTCTTAAGCTTTGATTGCTCCACTATTTATCAGTATGTGTGGCCTATATTGATAAATGAGTTGCATATTGTTAATTTTATAAATCATTGTACTGATTCTCAGCTAAAAGAATTGTTTAACTTGCTTCTTTCAATTTTTTATTTGTCATTCAGGGTTTGTTTTTATCAGTTAAATGTACGTTTTGATATTAACTCTTACCACACTAAATATTATAAATGGTCCTATACATTTTTCAGTCTTAACAAAACTATTCATCATTATTCAAGTGATAATTTCAAAATGTGTATTGCCTGAATAGCAAACATTTCTGTCTCAAAATACCAAAAACCTGAAAATTTGAAACTTGCAGCATATGAAGTTTTTGCATGAATTTGGGATTGATATTGTTTAAGAAAAAAACTTGAAATTAAAGAATTTTTAAGGACTTTTTTGGGAGTTTTCTTATAGATATATAGGTACAGTAAAAACCCTCAATTAAGACCACCATCGGGACTGGACCAAAGTGGTCTTAATTGCGGGGTGGTCTTAATTGTGAATATTCTTATCATTGCTTACACACGTTATGACCAGGACCTATTTTAGTCATTTTGTATGAACAAACAATATGTATCTTAACCTGCAAATTCAATATGAAAGTATGTTATAATGTTACATCTGATGGGAAGAAAACATATTTCTGAAGAAATTTGATATCAAATTTTCTTTCTTTCAATAGTTTCTTTCTTACATAATTCACATACAATATCAGACATTATTTCTTCACAAAACAAATGTGCATAAAGCAACATTAAACCACTATGAAATTAACATTCTCACCTTTTTTCATTAAATATCCCATAAATAACAGTTTTTGACACCTTGTGTCATGCCTAAGAGCAATCAAGCAGATAATAACAACATAACAACACATTTAGGATCTTTAAAGGTGTTGATTTTAATATCAGTGGTCTCAATAGTGAGGTCAAATAAAGAACAAAATAATGAATTGGGACTGAATTTGGTGGTCTTAAAAGTGGATAAGTGAGGTGGTCTTAATTCTGGATCATGTAACCATTGACATAAAGAACAGAAAATTCCGTTCTTTTAAAAACTGGTCTTAAAAGCGGGGTGGTCTTAAATCCGAGGTGGTCTTTAGTAGGGATTCTACTGTATAAACAATGAAAGCCTAGCTACTAGTGTGTTTATACACAATCAGCATGCTCAAAGTATGTGTTTATAGATTTGTACAGAAAACTTACATGTTAGCAGATCATTTAGTTTATTTTGTCTTTTTTTGTAACTGAAGTCATGTCTCTAGATACACAATGCTAGAAACATGTCAGAATATATTTGTATAGATATACATGTATAGTTTAAGGCATTACGTAATTATATTTGTTGTACTGAAATCGTATTTTGTGCTATTTCCATTGCTTTTTCATTTTGGGCCATAATGTAAATGTGAATAAATCCCTTGAATGGTGAAGTTGTTTCTATTCTTTTATTCCAAAAAGATGCCTTACTAAGGGACGAATACCATGTGACTTCATTCTAGTAACATAAATTAGCATTGTAGCTTTTATAGATAAAGCAAGGCTCTTGTCATAACCAACTCCACCTTGGTTTTGGAGTTTTCGTTTAAAGCATTTACAGTAAAAACCCTCAATTAAGACCACCATCGGGACTGGACCAAAGTGGTCTTAATTGCGGGGTGGTCTTAATTGTGAATATTCTTATCATTGCTTACACACGTTATGACCAGGACCTATTTTAGTCATTTTGTATGAACAAACAATATGTATCTTAACCTGCAAATACAATATGAAAGTATGTTATAATGTTACATCTGATGGGAAGAAAACATATTTCTGAAGAAATTTAATATCAAATTTTCTTTCTTTCAATAGTTTCTTTCTTACATAATTCACATACAATATCAGACATTATTTCTTCACAAAACAAATGTGGATAAAGCAACATTAAACCACTATGAAATTAACATTCTCACCTTTTTTCATTAAATATCCCATAAATAACAGCTTTTGACACCTTGTGTCATGCCTAAGAGCAATCAAGCAGATAATAACAACATAACAACACATTTAGGATCTTTAAAGGTGTTGATTTTAATATCAGTGGTCTCAATAGTGAGGTCAAATAAAGAACAAAATAATGAATTGGGACTGATTTTGGTGGTCTTAAAAGTGGATAAGTGAGGTGGTCTTAATTCTGGATCATGTAACCATTGACATAAAGAACAGAAAATTCCGTTCTTTTAAAAACTGGTCTTAAAAGCGGGGTGGTCTTAAATCCGAGGTGGTCTTTAGTAGGGATTCTACTGTAATTTAGTTATTGAACTAAAATTTGATATGTTAATGCACCATGCCAAACCCTTTTTCAGGTGATAAATGGTTGGAGGTTACTGATACCTGTAATAGTTAAAGGTCCATTGTCTCAGAAAAGTATCAGAACTATTCACTTCTATCTTTTTATGCCCCCGAAGGGAGGCATATTAAAATCGCACTGTCTGTCTGTCCGTCTGTCTGTGCATCCCCACCATTTGTGTCCGTACTGAAACTTTGTCATGCATAGAATGATTTTAAAATAACTAGGCATAAATGTCTACCACATCAAGACAATGTGTCGCTTCCAAGAATTACGTCCCTACCTCAAAGGTCAAGGTCACACTTACATTGAAGTTTTACATTATTACTATTAAAATTAATAGGTACACATAATCGTGTCCGGGCTGTGACTTTGTCCAGCATCGAGGGATTTTAGAATAACTTGGCATAAATGTCAACACACAGAGACAATGTGTCACGTCCAATAATCACGTCTCTACCTCAAAGGTCAAGGTCACACCAACATTTTGAAGTTTCATTTATCACAAGAGTTTATAGGTACACACATTTGTGTCCAGATAAGATTGTAACTTTGTCATGCATTTAAGGATTTTAGAATAACTTGGCATAAATGTCTACCACATCAAGATGATGTGTCGTGTCCAATAATCACGTACCTACCTCAAAAGTCAAGGTCACACTGCCATTTTGAAGTTCAATTTACCACACTTAGAGTTTATAGGTACACACATCCGTGTCTGAACTGTAACTTTGTCATGCAGTTAAGGATTTTATAATAACTAGGCATAAATGTCTACCACACCAAGACGACATGTCACGACTTAGACCCATGTCCCTACCTTCAAGGTCAAGGTCACACTTATAGTTTGAAGATACTCATTCTCTCGAGATTTTGATTCCACTCACACAACAATCATTTCCAGACTGTAACTTTGTCGTGCATTGAGGGACACGTACAATAATACAAAGAACAATATTAAGCAATTAGTTACTTTCATTCTCTTTTCTTTTCATAATACCTGCATGCTTTTGGGGGGCATTGGTCACTTGGGCAACAGCTCTTGTTAATCTTATTCCTTATCAAAATGTAATGCAATAGCACAAGGGAAGATAATTAATATACGTTTTTTGAAATATGTAAGATAATTCCAATTTGTTATTCCAAGTCCGTGATTCTTCCCTGCCCAGATATGCCTGAAGTAATGCATGAAGGGGCACCTGAGATCTTCCTCCACCATTAAAGCTGGAAAGTCACTATAAGAGCTTGAGTCTGTCCGTGTGACAAAATAAATAAATGTAAAATAAGGATTGCTGACTGTATGAGTTCAAACCCCTTCAGGGGCAAGCCGTTGTTTCCGTGAGCAAGCAACTTAACACTCATTGCTTAGTACTGGTTGGTTTCAGGAACGGATTCGAGTGTTTCAATAACCTTTTTACTTCCAACACAATGGAACTAAAATAAAATGGTATTAAATAAAATAAGTTATTGTCCCCCGCCTTTTCGAAGAAAAAAGGGGGATATAGAAATAGGCTCCGTCCATTTGTCTGTCACACTTTCGTGTCCGGTCCGTAACTATGTCATTTACCAAAGGAAGTTGATATAACTTGGCACAAAAGTTTGTTATAATAAGACGATGTGTCATGCGTCAAGTACAACATCTGCACCCCTAATTCCAAGGTCAAGGTCACACTTAGAGATCAAAGGTTATCAAAGCCTGTTATATGGTATATCCATAGCTCAATCTTTTGAAATAGCACAGTTTTATGCTTCATATAAAACTTCCCTGAGGAGGGTGACATTAGTAACTCTGTTACAAATTCTTGTATTTTTTTTGTGTGAAGCATGCCTGAAACTCAAAGCATTCAATACTTTATTTACAGGTCCCCATAACTTGGCTTACGAGAAATTTGCATTGTCAGATTTACCAGAATTGACCTGCAATTTTATCATCTATCAACTTATCAACTAATTAAATACTGGACACAGTAAGGAAGACAAAACTATGCAAGAAAAATCAATTATGAATAAATATATTTCTTCTTATGACAAGAAGTTACAGTTGTTAACATAAATTCCATGTTCAAAGGGGAATAATTCTGGTAATAGCCGCACTTGTGTTATGGACCTTGTCACACAACATGTGTGTAATGATAAGAAATATATATTTGAAGTTTAAAGAAGATACCTTAAAAAGTAAAGAAGTTATAATATTTATTAAAGAAAATTTTAAGTTCAAAGGGAGATAAATCTGAAATATTGCTTCAAGAGTTATGAACCTTGTCACATAAGATGTGGTTGATAATAAGAAATATTTATTTAATTTTACCCATGAAATATGGTGCTATATCAGTCAAATATATTTCATATTTGTAAAAAATAAATATGAAATATAAATACAACCAATGTATGAAAGTGTGCAGAGTCAAAACTCATTTATTTTAAAGGACTTCTTTCACTATTTTGTTTAAAAATCTGATATATAAATAACAAATTTTTGTTGAATTTTGTTTTGAAAACTATCTAGAATGATAGAAAATGGTCTTACTAAGAACATAAATCGAATACCAATATCTTTAATTCAGTCATTAACGCTGTACAGACGTTTAAAGAGTTGTTTACGCGACGTCACAATGTAGCACCAAATATTGCGTGCAAAACAAGACGCATCTATAAATAATAAATATATTACTGCGCCCTGTACAATTGCAGTTGTGTATCAAGCAAGGGGATTCGTTACCATTTTTCTTTAATAATGAATTTAAATAAAAAGGTTATTTTTTTTCATTTTTCGTGAAACATGGTATATATTTTCACTCAACACGGCTCATGAAAATATGTGGCACTTTATCATGTTTCGTGAAGATATATTCCATATTTCACACAAACGAAAATATCTACTTAGTATTTGAAGTTTGAGGTAGATACCTTTAAAACTAAGGAGGTTATAGTAAAAAATAACATTTTTTAAATATAAAAGTTAATGGGTACATAATTCTTGCAATATTGGTGGTAGAGTTATGAACCTTGTCACATAAGATGTGGTTAATGATAAAGAAAATATATTTGAAGTATTAGGTTGACCCCTTAAGAAATAAAGAAGTAATAGTAAAAAATAATATTTTCTACAAGTTCAAGGGGAGATAAATCTTAAAATATTGGTGCTAGAGTTATGAACCTTGTCACATAAGATTTGGTTGATGATAAGAAACATAAATTTAAAGTTTGAAGTTGATACCTTAATAAATGAAAAGGTTACAGTGAAAAATATAAAAATATTTTACTGCACCAAAACTTTAATCTGAAAACTGGACGCCGATTCCGAGGCAAGTAGGACAGCTCTCCATATACTTTTTATAGTCGAGCTAAAAATTGTCTATAATAATTATAATGTAAGTTGAGTAGCAATTTAAGTACTACTGCTTCATATTTATCTGCCATTTTGTATAATTTACCTGGAATGTTCTCTATAACAATTTCTTTTTGCCGTAATAACATGAAATCAACACATATGTACTTAAATAACAATGAAACTTGTGCTTCTGTTATATGAGTATGTTTATTTCTCTCAAAAGTCTTGAGTATTTCATATACAAAAATATAGATCCCATTATAATAAACAAATCTAAATGGATTTCTTCTTTTATCCTTAAACATTTATATGACATACAACCCAGTTTTTACATATTTTTATCTATATATAAATGTATATTACTAGTCTCTAATACATAATAAACAAAATATTGCACAAACATAGACAAAAGACGTTGGTTTTAGCACAGGATAAAAGGAAAATAGAAGAAACGCTGTATTCTTGCATATCAGACAGAATTATGTACTGTTTTCACTGGTGCTAGAAAAATCTGTCTTTAAATGACGTCATTCAGGGTCTCCTTTTATGAATGAATTGCATTCATAGGATGACATCATTTCTTTTCCTTTATGAAAGAAGTTGTAAATTCATATGCTTCTATAAGAAATAAGTGCAAAATGAAAATATTAGTTTACATGATTTCTGTCCAAAATATTATTTAATATGTAATATGCAAGAAAATAATCAAACACCAATTGTCTTCACAGATGGAAATAACTATCTCTTGGGGTAACTGTTTAGCCGAAACTGGACAGAGCCTCTTTACTGCCTTAAACAGTTACCTAGATATTCCAATCTGTTTGGTTGCCGGGGAAAGATCCTTATATTATTTTACTTTAGAACTTTAATTATTGAAGTAGAGTGGATCTTAAAAGCAAAATGAGTGGCTAAAACAAAGCTATTGCACGGCTAATATCAGTGCCATTACACCAGTAATACTAGATCTACTTGTAAACACACAGATATATCATTTTGTAGTACTTCCTATAATGACCATGGATGAGTAGTATTATTAAGTTTTTGAAATAAGCATTTTTTGTAATGTACAATTATCAGGATATATTTATAATAAGTATTGTGTCACAGGTATTGTTTGGTACCTCTTGTCATGACAATAACAATGGTGATGATTATTTCAATTCATAGCATGTTGTTGACTATTCAATTACCTTTCTTTTCAGAAAACAACAAAATGTTGATTTGTTTTATACATGCATAATAAACCATTAACAGTGCTATACTTTTGTTAGGAAAGAATTATTTGGTACAAATATCATCTTAATTAAAGTTAGTGTTTGAAATTATCTTTTGTCCAATAGGATTGCAGTATTTCAGATGAATCATACCACATTTTTATTTTGTAAATTCCCTCACTATCAGTCTAGTATATTTTTTACTAAGAAAATAATTGTGAACACTAAAATGAAAGTTTTCATCAGTAAACATTCAACAAATTAAATTGGCCAAGCATTCACCAACTTCAATAGGTCAGGGTGCTGTGCCGTCTTGACCAATTTACATAGTAAATGCTTAAAAATAAAAGAACACAAACTAAACATTCACAATCCATTCCATTACAAGCTCCTAATAAATCTATAAGAAAAGGTGCGAAAAAAAAAACTGTTATTAGATCCTAATAATTTACCCTTCAAGCCATATGTTACTAACATAATACCTTCTCCAATAATGGTGAAAAAACTAGCTATAAGCTATAAACACAATTATGCATTTGTTAATGCTATATATTGTAAACAAATAAAACAGGTACTAATTCCAAGGTACATTTCAAAGAAAAAGATCAATTATGACTACAAACTTGAGATTCATCATATTTAAATAATATGAGCCGCGTCACGACAAAACCAACATAGTGCGTTTGTGACCAGCATGGATCCAGACCAGCCTGCGCATCGCGCAGTCTGATCAGGATCCATGCTGTTCGCTTACCAACCCTATTACAAGTAGAGTAACTGATAGCGAACAGCATGGATCCTGATCAGACTGCACGGATGCACAGGCTGGTCTGGATCCATGCTGTTCGCTTACCAACCCTATTACAAGTAGAGAAACTGATAGCGAACAACATGGATCCTGATCAGCCTGATGCGCAGGCTGGTCTGGATCCATGTTGTTTGCAAACCCATTATGTTGGTTTTGTCGCGACGCGGCTCATATATAAATATATAAACAGTGAGACATTAAAGCAGTCTTCATCTTTTCTCAAGGTCAAATATGTTGTTTTTAGATAAATTGTTTCAAATAATTGATAAATCAAAAGATTTAAGGTGGAAAATGAAAGTTGCCACCAAGAAAATACATAAACAATAAGGAAACCCCTCGATACCTCTAATCTACTGGTTTACTCTCTATATGTAAATTAGTTAACCCGATGATTTGTTTCCAGATCTTCTATTTTCAGAAACGAACATCACTTGTGGTAATAAATAACTCTCTCGAAGCTGTTTTGAAGAAGGCTTAACAGTGATATGATGCACTTTTCCAAGATAAAATTATTGAATACTTAGTTTGAAACAACACTGATTTCTTTTCCAAAATAAAAGATGAAGGCCGCTTTAAAGGTTTGGATTTCATAATATAATGGTCCAAAAAGAACTCTTCCTATTCTCCAAACTGTTCCGGAACATAAAACTGTTCTAAAAGAAAATACCTTTTAATTACGGTAGGTTTTGTGTAACAAAGTACAAAATAATACAACAGATCTTACTGAAAAATACTTATTGAAAAAATGTTTAAACAACATATATATACACAATTTCTTTGGATACACTAATCTCAATGGTGGAATGTATATGTAAAAAATACAACTATATTGTAACAATTGTAAAAAAAAATACATATTTAGTGCTTTCTTAAACAAAATAATCATAAACTGGTCACAAAACTATATCCAAACAACTAATGACAAAATGGGATTTTTCTAATTAAAAAACATTAACTTAAAAGTTGCTTAATTAAAATTAACAAAATATGTATAATAGACAAGAAGAACTTATTGTCTAGCTTACATTAAACCATAATTCTGGTAAATTTATCAAATAATGACATGTAAACACATGTGACAAAACAAAAGCATAGATCTACATACACAATTTTCATAATATTTTGCATAGAACACCTGTAAAGCATAGAACCCCCTAAACATTATTTGATAAAAAAGTAAAAATATTTTCTTGCATAAACTAATACAATAACAATGTTTATAATAAATTATGTACAAACATCTTTCTTTCAAATTCTGAATTAACATGCAACATTCAAAGTTGATCCTAAAAAATATAGCTAGAATTTTTATCAATAATCAATCATGTCCAAGTTATAGAACTTTATCACAGTATGTAAAAGTTCAATTTATCATAATGTAAAAATGCCCCAAAAATGTTTTAAAATATATTCGAGATAAGTCCAAGTATCACATTATTCTTTGATGATTTAACCAAAATTGGTCAAGAAAAACTTGCAAATTTCTATCAATTTTAGTCTCTTTTCATTTTATTCATAATTTTTTCGCCTTCTTTAGCGTTTCGAAGAACAAAGTTGTCAAAATCTGCTATCCCCCATGATGATGTTCCTACACCAGCGAACCCATGAGTCTTAAAGTCAGCTACAGTGATGTTAAACAAAAATTTATCATTTATTGAACCAACTGCAGAGCCATCCTGAAATACAGAAAACAATGAGTTCACACATTCCTCTTTTATGTGAATTTTATTAATCCTCTTTTAATTCTTATTACAAAACACTTTTTACATAAAAGCTCATTAAAGATATACTATAAATAAAAAGGTGCTTCTATGACATTTTTATAGCAACTATCAATGTCAAATTCTAGTATTAAAAAAAAATTTGAGTTTCCCTAAACAAATACAGTTAACGTTTTCTTAAACAAGAGCTATCACAGAAGATTGTGAAGCTCGACTAATAAAATACTGGACGCAGTAAGGAAGACAAAATTATGAAAGAAAAATCCATTATGTATAATTATGTATTAAGTTATAGTAAAAAAATAACATTGTTAACATATATTCCAAGATCAAGGGGAATAATTCTGGAAATAGTCATACTAGAGTTATGAACTTTGTCACACACAACATGTGTGTAATGATAAGACATATATATTTGAAGTTTGAAGTAGATAACTTAAAAAGTAAAGAAGTTATAATATTTATATAAGAAAATCCTCAAAGTTCAAAGAGAGATAAATCTTAAATATTGCTTCAAGTGTTATGAACGTTTTCACATAAAATGTTATTGATGATAAAGAATAAGTATTTGAAGTTTGAGGAAGATACCTTTAAAACTAAAAAAGTTATAGTAAAAAATAACATTTTTCAAGTAAAAAAAATTTTAGTTGATGGGGAGACAATTCTTGCAATATTAGTGCTAGAGTTATGAACCTTGTCACATAACATGTGGTTAATGATAAGGTGCATATATTTAAAGTATGAAGTTGATCCCTTAAGAAATAAATAAGAAACATTAAAAAATAATATTTTTTAAGGAAAATTCTAAGTTCAAGGGGAGATAAATATGAAAATCTTGGTGCCAGAGTTATGAACCTTATCACATAAGATGTGGTTAATGAAAAGGTACATATATTTGAAGTATGAAGATAATCCCTTAAGAAATAAAGTAGTTACAGTAAAAAATAGTATTTTTTAAGGAAAATTCTAAGTTCAAGGGGAGATAAATCTGAAAATATTAGTGCTAGAGTTATGAACCTTGTCACATAAGATGTGGTTGATGATAAGGTACACATATTTGAAGTATGAAGTTGATCCCTTAAGAAATAAAGTAGTTACAGCAAAAAATAGTATTTTTTAAGGAAAATTCTAAGTTCAAGGGGAGATAAATCTGAAAATATTAGTGCTAGAGTTATGAACCTTGTCACATAAGATGTGGTTGATGATAAGGTACACATATTTGAAGTATGAAGTTGATCCCTTAAGAAATAAAGTAGTTACAGCAAACAAGAGCTGTCGGTAGGACAGCAACGCTCGACTATTCTAAGTGCTTGATAGTAAAAAAATGCTTGATACAGTTACCTCCTCCTGTTTACAGGTTGGGGTAATGATGGTGAACAAGTGTGCAAAGTTTCAAAGCCATATGTCAATGGACTTTGAAAATATTTTAACTATTACAAAAACTTTAACGTAAATTCTAAGTCGAAAAAGGGGCATAATTCTGTCAAAATGCTTGATAGAGTTACCTCCTCCTGTCTACAGGTTGGGATCAGGATGGTGAACAAGTGTGCAAAGTTTCAAAGCCATATGTCAATGGACTTGGAAAATATTTTAACTATTACAAAAACTTTAACGTAAATTCTAAGTCGAAAAAGGGGCATAATTCTGTCAAAATGCTTGATAGAGTTACCTCCTCCTGTCTACAGGTTGGGGTCATGATGGTGAACAAGTGTGCAAAGTTTCAAAGCCATATGTCAATGGACTTTGAAAATATTTGAACTATTACAAAAACTTTAACGTAAATTCTAAGTCGAAAAAGGGGCATAATTCTGTCAAAATGCTTGATAGAGTTACCTCCTCCTGTCTACAGATTTGGGTCATGATGGTGAACAAGTGTGCAAAGTTTCAAAGCCATATGTCAATGGACTTGGAAAATATTTGAACTATTACAAAAACTTTAACGTAAATTCTAAGTCAAACAAGAGCTGTCGGTAGGACAGCAACGCTCGACTATTCTTAGTGCTTGATAGTAAAAAAAATGCTTGATACAGTTACCTCCTCCTGTTTACAGATTGGGGTCATGATGGTGAACAAGTGTGCAAAGTTTCAAAGCCATATGTCTATGGACTTTGAAAATATTTGAACTATTACAAAAACTTTAACGTAAATTCTAAGTCGAAAAAGGGGCATAATTCTGTCAAAATGCTTGATAGAGCTACCTCCTCCTGTCTACAGGTTGGGGTCATGATGGTGAACAAGTGTGCAAAGTTTCAAAGCCATATGTCAATGGACTTGGAAAATATTTGAACTATTACAAAAACTTTAACGTAAAATCTAAGTCGAAAAAGGGGCATAATTCTGTCAAAATGCTTGATAGAGCTACCTCCTCCTGTCTACAGGTTGGGGTCATGATGGTGAACAAGTTTGCAAAGTTTCAAAGCCATATGTCAATGGACTTTGAAAATATTTGAACTATTACAAAAACTTTAACGTAAATTCTAAGTCGAAAAAGGGGCATAATTCTGTCAAAATGCTTGATACAGTTACCTTCTCCTGTCTACAGGTTGGGGTCATGATGGTGAACAAGTGTGCAAAGTTTCAAAGCCATATGTCAATGGACTTTGAAAATATTTGAACTATTACAAAAACTTTAACATAAGTGGTTATGCCGACGCGGACGCCGACGCTCGGGTGACTGCAATAGCTCTACTTATTCTTATCGAATAGTCGAGCTAAAAAGGGGCATAATTCTGTCAAAATGCTTGATAGAGTTACCTCCTCCTGTGTACAGGTTGGGGTCATGATGGTGAACAAGTGTGCAAAGTTTCAAAGCCATATGTCAATGGACTTTGAAAATATTTTAACTATTACAAAAACTTTAACGTAAATTCTAAGTCGAAAAAGGGGCATAATTCTGTCAAAATGCTTGATAGAGTTACCTCCTCCTGTCTACAGATTGGGGTCATGATGGTGAACAAGTGTGCAAAGTTTCAAAGCCATATGTCAATGGACTTTGAAAATATTTGAACTATTACAAAAACTTTAACATAAGTGGTTAAGCCGACGCCGACGCTCTGGTGACTGCAATAGCTCTACTTATTCTTATCGAATAGTCGAGCTAAAAATAGTATTTTTTAAGGAAAATTCTAAGTTCAAGGGGAGATAAATCTAAAAATATTGGTGCTAGAGTTATGAACCTTGTCACATAAGATGGGGTTGATGATAAGGAACATATACTTGAAGTTTGAAGTTGATAACTTAAGAAATGACAATGTTATAGTGAAAAATAATTGAAATATTTTAATGCACCAAAACTTTAATCTGAAATCTGGAAGCGGACGCCGACGCCGGGGCGAGTAGGACAGCTCTCCATATACTTCGTATAGTCAAGCTAATAAATTGCATCAATTCAAACTTTAAAAATTAACACCAGTTCCAATTAAATGTACAAAAGGAATATGAAAAATGAGCCATTTTAAATCTACTGATCATCTCTGTTTTGGTCCAAATCCCAACTGGGATCTAGGATTATTTCATGTGAGGAAGACATTAAGCTAGCTTGCAAAAGATGGTTGTTCTAAACAGGTGTCCTCTTGTGACAGATATAATGCACAGAAGGTGCCTGAGAGGTACCTATGGAAATGGCTGGTCATGACTGAAATAATACATGGAGGTGCACCTGATGTCTTCCTTCACCAGTAAAGTTGGAAAATTGCTATGACCTTTACATTGTCAGTGTCAATGATGAAACCCAAACAAAATTAATGTAATTAGAGTCATACCTTTATAAGAAGACTTAGAGTGTTCCAACCTTTCACATTTAGTTTTCCTGTTGGTCCAAGTTTATGAATGACTGACTGAGCTGAAATAAGATTAACATGTACATTTTACTATCACATAGAACCCTAAGATGTTCTGACAGTGTTGTTACATGGATATTCAATATAACAGTGTTGTGTACTAGTGACTAATTCAAGTTAAGTTTTTCTTAAGCCTCAGATTATTAAAAAAGATAATATTTCATTAGCAAAATATTTCTAATCAAAGTACTTACAGAACTGACTTAAGGCAAATTATTAAGGAGTTGACTAGATAATTTGGTCTAACTATAGTAAAGTAAAACTACAGGGTCATAATTAATTGCTCTAAATAACTCATTGAAATACATTTTATATTGGAATTTAACCCTGACTCGTAAAAGAAAAGGTTGTTTCAAGAATAGACAAATAGAGGTCAGGAAAATAGTGGTCAAAAATAATTACCTACAGCATGTTGTGTTTTGATTAGCTAAAACAAACAAAACAAAAACATCATACTTCAATCGTAACTTACCTATATTACCAGTGACAACAAATCTCTGGGATTCTGGGTAGACGAAGAAGAAGATACCCGTTGAATCTATCAGTTTACACCCTCCTTCAAATATACGTGCTGCAACAAAATATCCATCCGTAGAATTTGTGTCACCAAGTTTTGCATCAACCTGCACATAGATGTCTGACCTGTAATTATAAATAATATTGTAAAAGTACAACACGACAGAAACAACGGTAAAGTTTTCACTAAATTTGTTCTTGTAAAAGGTATCATCCGTCTATTCCCTCTAATATTTGCCATATTATTTTCAAACAAATTTTTTGTTCATAATTTGTTTATGTTTCTCACAAGTTTAACAGTATAATTTCACTAACATAAGTTTGAAATTACTAGTAGAACTAAACTGATTAAGTAACTGACACTGTATTGTTTTCCTAATATCATGTAAACTTACTTTACTTAACTGAATTTCAAATTACATCCAATAAATAGACAGAAACATTTAAAATTCAAATAACTAATGATTTGTTTTTTTTTGTTTTGTTGGGTTTTACGTCACATTGACACAGCATAGGTCACTTGGCGACATTCCAGCTTTACTGGTGGAGGAAGATCTCAGGTGCCCTTCTGTGCATTATTTCAGGCATGAACGGGCACCCGAGTAGAACCACCGACATTCCGTAAGCTAGCTGGATAGCTTCCTCGTATGAAAGAATCAAAAGTCCCTGTCGGGATTGGAACCCACAGCAGTGAGGGGCAAGTGGTTTGAAGTCAACGACCTTAACCACTTGGCCACGGATGCCCCCAAATAACTAATGAAATAATAGATACTTGCACAACATTTCTACATTATTTACGGTAAAGCTTACCTATCCGAAGAATTACTGTATTGATCAAACTTACTGGAGATCTTCAAGAACATACAAATTGTCAATGTTTATTTTGTAAAAAAATCACAGCAGAAGGAGGAATGTGGATTGCAGTCAGCTACCTTTGACACTTACCCATAAAGTCCATGCTCAAGTATATTATTATATCATACAACCTTTAATTCTACTTTTTCATCATAACAATTAGTTTATATCATACCATTTCTGGGAGCCTATATAGTTTGTTGCAAAGTTCAACTTTTCAGCAGCACACCAATATATTGGAATCTGGGTCACCATTTGTCTCATGACCTTTCCGTGACCTTCACCAAGGTCAATCACTTCAAATGACCCGGTTTGCTGAGCAAAGTTATATGGTTCTTCATGTTCATTGTACTCTGTAAAAATAAATTCAAGTTCAATCATTCAACAAGGTCACATAATTCAGGTTCAGGCATGGTCGCATCATCCAGGTTCAGGTCAAGGTTACATAATCAAGGTGAATATTACAGCATACAAGCAGGCAAATAAGAAATGAATAACTAAATTACCCATTTTGAATAAAATTAGAGCAATTTTATTGCAGAAACAGAAGTGTAATAAATTTACCTACATGAACAATGCTTTGAAAATTCAAATTAACAATAAGTCAATTACAAGCAAGATCTAAAATTCATAATTGTGGTAAATTATGCATTTGAGCTCAATATTCGTAGATTTAAAAATAAGATAACATTAATCAATCATCTAAATTGACAGAAATATCATTGATAATACACACAGAAATAGTTGACCCAAGTTAATTACAAAATCTAAATATTTTTGCAGAATGATTATAGGAAAGTGTGAGAGAAATACAACATTAACATGACTGTTATTGTGGTGAGACGAGGAAAAACTCACTTTCAAAATTCTCCATATACGGTAGTGGAAAATCTTTGACAGGAGGTGGGGAGGGGTGACTTCCTTTGTTACCAGTGTTCAATGTTGTCAAGGTGATGACATCATCTATATCTAGGTCAAGTGTGAATTCTCCATCAATGACCTGTAACAAGAAGAAAATGGACACATAAAATAGAAACCTTAAAGAATGACCAAATGGCATTATTAAAAATGTTGCAGGCGTGTGTGTAGCATGTTCATATATGGCAGTTCATGTAAATGCAAGCTAACTTCCACTATAACTAACAATGGCTTAAGAAGAACTCAAACATAATTTGGAAAAGGATATAATATAAATATAAAATCATTTGGTGCAGAAATCTCAAAAGTAAATGTTCCATCTCCTTTTGAATGAGTTTTTCATTTCCTCATAGGTGTAAAAAAATTCATTTGGTTCCATAAAATTTTTTAAGAAGAAATTATATGAAGAATATTGTGTTGAAATGAATTCAAATTTATATAATCAATATACATAATCATGTACCTTTACTGGGTTCAGTTTCTTGAAGAATGTAGATGGCATGTTATCAAATCTCAGTTGACTTTTCCACATCTGTAACATGTTGATTCCAGCCTGAAACAGGTGATATGTTATTAAATCAGATCAGTTTACAGTTACCTTTATCTACTGTGTAAGTGGATATTTCCGCATGCCGAAAAGTTAGCAAATTTAAAATTCCAGACATTTCCCGTGACGAAATATTAATGAATCATGCAAGGGTAGAATCTAATGACAGGTTTGTTGATATTTATGCTAGAGAAAATTTTAGTGATTTTCATTAATTTCCAAAATTCACCAATATTTCTGCATAGCTAAATTAACCACTTATACAGTATACCATATATAGTGTTTTCATTTAAAAAATATAGAACAAATTCAAGGCACTTCATAATTTTAACCCTGACTATGCTAAAATTATATAATGGACTTGACCTGCTTTGCAGTGGGATCAGCCCATTAGTATTTGGAGGGATTTCAGTATTCTCATATTAATACTCAGAAACAGTACAGTCTGGTCAAACTGAGAATGCAGGTAGGCATCGAAAACAAGATCAAAGCCAAAAATTTGAGACAACTTTTATGGTGGCAAATTTTTGCATGATTAAATCTAGGAATTACATTTGGAATCTTAAAGATAAATCTCTTTAGTTGTAACCATCTGGTTAGCGCAATATGTTGAGCATTGGACTATGAATCGTGCAATCCAGGTTTGATGTCCAGAAGGTTCAGGTCATTTTCATTGTGATTTATCATAAAGTCTTTTCTACTTTTATTAACACTGTGCCTCTGCTCTGGTACAAAAGTTATCAGTTCCTTGTGAAAGTGAAGGCAAATAGTACATGTAGTACTATTAAACTGCTTGGAAGTCTGTTCAAGAATGATGCAGTGGCTGAACTGTGCTCTGGTTAATTCAATGTGACTAAATTATTGCCATGACCCTGAGGGTAAAATACCAACACAACAACCACCATCTCTATCATAGTTGTTTAACATCAATGTAGGTGTATCCCCCAAAAATGAATTGGATTGTAACATCATTATACTTACAAATTGTCCTTTGATCTGGAATTTGACTGTCTGTTTCTTCACATTATACTGAGGAAGTGGTGGTCGGATACATTTTGAATGGTCGTGACTCTACAACAAAAACAAAATAGCATCTGCATATCGTCATGTTAGTGCAGTAATGGGTAAACTCCCATTAAAGTTCATTAGGAGTTAACCTGTTACTGCTCTAAGGTTATAACAACAAAACAAATTAACAATACTTTTATTAACTGTTCTCATCTCGTGTTGTTTGACCATTATCTTGATAATTTATGACAAGACAGTGTCAGACAGGATGAGATTGTATGACAGAAAACCACAGTTAGGCTGATGAACCACACTCCTTAAATCAACCTTGTGAGTTTCTTATTGAACAAAATCCTGTTACTTGTTGTCATGGATCTCCAAAGTTACAAAGCTTGTTTACATCTACTTACTGTTTCTTATGGTAACTGACATGTCATAGTGGGTACAAATTTTAATTGTAGTTGCCAACTTTTTTGCTATAAATAATGACTTCAGCTTTGTATTTTTTTATTCATAGGTAAATTTTCAAACTTACTATTCAATCACATTTTCTCATAAATATCATATTTCTTGAATGTTTTTATAAGTTGCATACATTTGTATCAAGTGTAAGACAGCCACAGAACACAGAGACTGTACATTGATGTAAAGGCTCAAAATTTAGAGTTTGTTTGTTTGTTCTATTTTACGCCTTTTTCCAACAGTATTTCAGTCATATAGGCGGGTAGTTTCCTAACCATCGTTCCTGGAGAGTTACACCAGTACTAGACTACCTTCCTCCGCACTAAACTACCAAAGCATCTCCCGGGGATCGAACCCACGCCAGAGAGGTACCTCAATTAGAAGTCATCGACTCTAACCCCTCGACCACGGAGGCGGTCAAAATTTAGAGAGAAAAGCATGTACACTTAAAGAGGTATACCATGTAGATTGTAGCAACAACATCAATGTCAATTTTTAGCAATATTAAGTTATACATTATTCAAACACTGTGAAAATTTGTAGTTCATCTAGGTATTTGCAATGAACTGTAATACATAAAGATAAATATAATTATTTGAGTTACCATAGTTTCTATGATAATTGTGAGATGTTTCCCATCAGGACTAGCAAGAGACACGTAACTTCCTCCATAAACAAAATGGCCACTACCGTAACCATGACGATAATAATTCCAACCAATCTGTGTAAACTGTGTTGTATGAGCTGTAAAAGAACAAAACTTCAGTTACATCATTATTTTTCAAACATTGCTAAACAAAAAAAAGTATAAAAGACAGTATTTTTTTTTAAATCATGTGAATTAAACTGTGCATGAATACATCATAAAATAATAAAAAATTTTTTTTAAATTTTTTTTCATAAAATGCAAGAAGTCAAATCATATATAAATTCTCCAATACATAACTTTAAAAGTTTTCACAACATAAGAGATCTAATGATAAGTTTAAAAGACTTTTCTTTCCTTAATAACATCTTCTATCATGCAAAGAGCATCAATTTCCTTCTTTTTATCAAAAAGAACATTAAACTAGAACTGTGTCCAAAGGACACGGATGCCCCCACTGACAACATATATATGGTATATAGTGAAAAAACCAACAAGGGGCCATAATTCTGTTAAATTTGGTCGCAGCAAAAATTCCTTCCATTACTTCCATCTACACATTAAGGTTGTTCATCCCTGGAAGTTTAAGCAAAATCTGTCATCCAGTTTAAGAGGTGTTGCGTTCACAAAATTTCTACATAGTATATAGTGAAAAAATCAACAAAGGGCCATAATTCTGTTAAATTTGGTCGCAGCGAAAATTACTTCCTTTACTACCATCTACATATTAAGGTTGTTCATCCCTTGAAGTTTTAGCAAAATCTGCCATCCGGTTTAAGAGGAGTTGCGTTCACAAGATTTCGGTACTACGGACAGACATACGGACGGATGTTAGGACGTGACGTACGGACGGACGGACAAGTGCAACGCTATATGCTCCCACTTTGTGAAGGCATAAAAATCAACAAAGGGCCATAATTCTGTTAAATTTGGTCGCAGCGAAAATTCCTTCCTTTACTTCCGTCTACACATTAAGGTTGTTCATCCCTGGAAGTTTAAGCAAAATCTGCCATCTAGTTTAAGAGGTGTTTCGTTCACAAAATTTCTATATGGTATATAGTGAAAAACCAACAAGGGGCCATAATTCTGTTAAATTTGGTCGCAACAAAAATTCCTTCCTTTACTACCATCTACACATTAAGGTTATTCATCCCTGGAAGTTTAAGCAAAATCTGCCATCCGGTTTCAGAGGAGTTGCGTTCACAAAATTTCTACATAGTATATAGTGAAAAAATCAACAAAGGGCCATAATTCTGTTAAATTAGGTCGCAGCGAAAATTACTTCCTTTACTACCATCTACTTTTAAGGTTGTTCATCCCTAGAAGTTTTAGCAAAATCTGCCATCCGGTTTAAGAGGAGTTGCGTTCACAAGATTTCGGTACTACGGACAGACGTACGGATGGATGTTAGGACGTGACGTACGGACGGACGGACAAGTGCAACGCTATATGCTCCCACTTTGTGGAGGCATAAAAATCAACAAAGGGCCATAACTCTGTTAAATTTGGTCGCAGCAAAAATTCCTTCCTTTACTACCATCTACATATTAAGGTTGTTCATCCCTGGAAGTTTAAGCAAAATCTGCCATCCGGTTTAAGAGGAGTTGCGTTCACAAGATTTCGGGACGGACGTACGGACATGATGTACGGATGGACGGACAAGTGCAACGCTATATGCTCCCACTTTGTGGGGGCATAAAAAGGCCGAGTAAAGTTCAGTCACATTTAGACAAAGCATTTCTGATTATTTGTCAAAATTCATAATAACACATTATTATTATATATCTTGAAACACTGAACACTTTTTTTTCATTGTATTAATTACACTCTTGATAAAAAATTCCCTTTTAAAAAGTAACCAATTTATGTGTATTATCTACATGTTTAATTCTACTGTAAAACAATCATTTACAAAGTTTGAAACTGTCAATATCTATATGTTTGTATGTTCTTATCAACAGATAATAAAATAACTTTCACTCTCTGAGCAGATCATTTTCAAAAACGAGAAATTTTGATAAAAAAATATATTCACAGATACAGTACCTCCAAGCCATATAGGACTTTCTACAACATAACTGCCTGACCATGGACTCTCTGCAGTCATAAGTCCATCCCTTGTGTATGGTAAACTGTCATAATACGCAGCAATCAAGTTCCAAGATATAGTCCTTAAAAAAAGAAAGCAAATTATTCATAACTTTCTAACATAAAATTCAGATTCATGTGCAAAGATTATGTATAGCCTCGAAATTTATGTTTATTTTCATGAATATTTAAAAAGTTTTTTAAAAGCATAAACATTGTCAAGTAAGGAAATGGAGTAATGTAAGTTAGCATATAGCACTGACATCCCTGACATATTAACTCAAATGTGTCAGAATAATAAAAAAATATCATTTACTCCAATGGTAAAAAGAGTAGAAATTCTATTTTTTGTTATTGTTGATGGGTTAAACGTCACAGCAACACAAATTTCCAGCTTTACTGGTGGAGGACGACCTCAGGTGCCCCTCCATGCATTATTTTAGGCATAATCAGGTACTAGTGTAGAACCACTGACTATGATGTTCTCAATTTATAATATGATTGGCCATAGTTTCAACAAAACATGCAAGACTGTGGTTATTTTTACATGTCTTAAACTCTTAATATATTTTTCTTAAATTTGGCCTTGTGGAACTTTTTATTCTCATCTGGAGACATGCAATTTGTTTATGTTTTCATTTTTGTTAGTTGTATTTAAAGTCAGATGATGACTTAAAACTGTTACTGCTTTCAGAAGGGACGCAGGTCTCCAACCAACATTGTTCAAGATACTTATTTTGATCACAAATGTACCATAAAGATAAAATATCTAAGATATATTTTACTTACGCAGTGATGTTTCCATTCACAAAGTTCTGATTTAGAATCTGTAAAAATAAAAGACATTATTATAACATATGCATATATTTGATCATGTACCAAAATATATATTGCAAAACAATTCTAAATGATAAAAGTTTTCATAGAATGTAAGGCACTTAAATTAACTTTTGTTTTGAATTTTTTCTAGTTTTAAGCACACCATCTAGGAAATATCAGCAATTATTATCAGCTTTAACCATCTGATCAAAGATTTTTGGGGAGCAAAGCATATTCTTACGATCTTAAAATCAAACAGATCAAAAAGAAAGACTGATAAATGGAAAACCAAAAGTAAGAATGGAAAAATGGGTAGTTATATGCTGCAACCAAAATCTTTTTAAAGGCATATAACATACATCTAAAAAAATCCAGTAAGATTAACTATGTTATGAGTTTACCCTAGCCCAGCACCCTCCACCGACAAGGTCATTAAAAGTACTGTAATCCTCAGAAGCCCATAAAGGTTTGCCTGTCTTTATACCATCCTTTGTGGTGATTGTCCCTGGATAATGTGACCTTACAAAAGTAAAAGTTTGACAATAACACCATCGTTTCTTTAAATAAAACTTTTTTCTACTGTAAATTATGATAATGGACTTATCTTTCTTTAAATTTTGATATTTCTATAGTTCAACAGCCCCCAGTCTTAAAAAGCAATAAAATGGCAATGAAAAGGTTTTATTACATGCTTTTCGGTGGTTTATAGAAATATATCAGTGATATAAAACTGGTAATTTCACTGTTTGAAACAGTGAAATTACCACTTTGATAATTTCACTGTTTTGAATTTAAGCCCCTTACGTTGTTTCAGTGAAATACCAGCGTGCACAGTACTGGGTACCAGCTTAATGACGTGACGTCGTAAATGACGTCCCGTTGTATTATTATTTGGCGCGCTTTTCATTCAGTATTAGGTTAAATGTCTTTTTAGAACGTTTCTTTGCATGTAATAAAAAGAAAATTTGTTTAGTTTAGTGTAAGATTGAAATATATTTCACCTTGTGAACACCAAAAGTTCATATTTCACTCGTGGCTGCGCCACTCGTGAAATATACCTTTTGGTGCTCACTCGGTGAAATATATTCCGATCTTACACTGAACTAAACAAATATCCTCTATTTCATCAAATACATGCATTCACATGCTGCATATTATGAAGCCATTATTTTCTTTTCAAATTAAAAATAACCTACTGTAAGATCAGTAACATGAAACTTTGAAAAAATGAAATTTTCAACATGCTTCATAAAACTAAGTTATTATTTTCTTAAATAACTATTTTTGGGTGTTATTGTTTCTGTGTAATATGAATTTAAAGAATTTCATATTGACTTAATATAGTCAATCAATTTGACAGTAAATCTTTGTTACTTTAAATAAAATATAGTTACAGTTAATAAACAGTTTGTAATTTACTTTGATGGGCAGAGTTACATTTTGTCAACTATAATGATTATTATGATAATTGCAAAATATTAAGAAACAACATCAAAACAGTATTATATATATATATATTAAGAAGCAATTGTATTGTCAATCTTGCATATAAGTTCATCTTCTTTCTATTTTGCCAACAAAAACAAACATGTTTTTTATCATTGGGTTTTACATCACTCCTACACAAAAGTGGTGATATGGCAACTTTCCAGCTTTTAGGGCAGAGGAAGACCTCAGTGCCCCTTTGTGCATTATTTTAGGTGCAAGCAAGTACCTGGGAAGAACAACTAACATTTCTAAGCTAGCTGGATGCCTTCCTCACAAAAAAGAATCCAAAATCCCTGGTGTGATTTAAACTTACAGCAGTGAATGGCAAGTGGTTTGAAATCAACAACCTCAACCACTACTCAGCCATGGATGTCTCAAAACAAACTACATGTATATAACTGTATAAACATCTACAAATGGTACCAGAAACGCTCGAACAACTAGATAAGCTATTCTAAGCAAAGCAATAAAACTTGTATTTCCTCTAGTAATTAACAATTTTACTTTTCAACTATTCATTCTTTACTCTTTATATATATTTTTTTCTCCTTTATATTTTAATTCAATGCCTCGGCAGCATGACATTATGTTCTTGTTCCCATAAAATCTACAGTACAGCACATCTAGCACAAACAAAACATACCCTATAAATTCTACAGCAGCAGCAAGCTCCGGGTCTTTCAGGATGTCTGCTGAAATCTGCCAGTCATTTATATGCGGGGCATCTGGAGCTACTATCTTTACATGCACTAAATCTGCCTTGTCTAATTCCTTCCTTAATGTCTGCAAATATCAACATGCAATGTAATATAAAGACATACCCTATATAATCAACAGCTTGCGCTAGTTCTGGGTCTTTCAGAATGTCCTTGCATATGGCCCACGTATCTTTACGAACCATGTCTGGTGCAACGATCTTAACATGTCGGAGTCCAGCTTTGTTTAACTCGTTCCTTAAAGTCTGAAAACCATCAATAGTAGTGAGGGTTCTTTTATAATTATAATGTTTCCCACACAGGTACACTGTATGTACATGTACTTTTATTGTAAGCATGCAATACTATGACTACAGGATGGTTCTACAATAAAATCATGATACCTATAACCCTTCACCCTTAACCTGCAGAATTTCTTATTTGGAACTGTCCATTTTCTGCTTTGGGGATTTTAAGATAATAAAAAACTTATATCTAGTTATTTAGTTAGCTAACAGTATACAGCCTGGTCAAACTGTGAAGATGTGTAAATGTAGGCTGGCCTGACTGCACAAATGGCAATGGGTGTACAGTTTTGGTTCCAGCAAGCTAATGGGTTAAGTTCTACTTAATAATAAAAAGCAATGGTTAAATGCCTTCCATCCTAAATTTGAATGTGTCCCTCATAAACGTGTTTTGCTTTGAATTAACAATAATTATTTTTGTGATGTAAAAATGTTCAGACTGGCCTGACTCTTAATAATTATCATCGGCATAAGAAAGTTTTTATAGCCATGTAAATTCAAAAAGTTGAATCATTTTTGAGAGTACATTGTTAAATTAGTAAAATTTCCTAACATATTCACTATACACAATGTAAAAAAATAATAACATATGACATAGAAAATGTGAAACAGACCTGAAATTTACCACATTCAGTACTTTTTTATATATAAGGCTTTAATTTTGATATAATATATAATTCACTTTTCAAGATTTTTGTAAGATATTGCCCAGGGTAAATGGTTATAATAAACAAAGGTAAAAGAATGTTTAAACCTAGCTGTAAAAGGTTTCATCAGATTTGTAGTTTAGTACAACTGTTTTCATTTGTTCACATAAAAACTTATTAATAAATTCTACAGCATCTGTGTAAATAGATATCCTTAGTTACTTGATGAAAATCTATGTTATGACCGTGCAGTATTAATAACTTTCAGGATATATATATGTATATATAAATGAAGTATTAAAATATCTCTAGGCATATTACTAATTGTTTTTCTGTGAAGTTAGTTTAACATATTGTACATGTATAAGTTTTATATCTTGTATAATACTGATTCAATAATGTTAATGTCCTACAAAAATAGTGTATAAAGTTCATCAAAAGATATTGCTAAACTAAAGCAGTTTTCACAAGCATTATGTAGATACACACATGAAGTGATAAAACTGAAGTATTTTCTCTACACTTTTCTGAGCATGTTTAAATTGAACTCATTATATACATGTATATATAAGCAATCTTCATTTTAGTAAGTAAATGACTACATATGTAAGCAAAGGAAAGTGCATATGCATAAATGATTGAAAAAATGCTCCTGAAAAACAACTGGTTAAAACACTAATTACATAATAATACTAATACATATTGTATACCCTTGTACCTTTACATTAGAACAGGATGATTTTATTTATAAATTCATTTTTGTTGTCTTGGTAACAATTTAAGTACCTTTATGAAACTATAAAAAATTCAACATTGTATCTTACATAAAATCCATCAAAATATTGAATTATAAGTCTATTGAAATCACTTTGTTGTATTCTTTTCTCATCACACTTCATCAAGTGCAAGCAAAAGAAAACTCCAATAACCTATAACAACACATCTCCAAAATTCATACCAAATAACAAACAAGAGGGCCATGATGGCCCTGAGGTCGCTCACCTGTATATAGGCCCCCCAACCCCCCCCCCCCCAACGTTGCAGGGCCAATTTAACCCAAGGGCTTTTATTTGCAAAAACTCAGTAGACACCCATAAGAAGATGTTTCATGCTAAACATCTAAGCTCTAGCTCATTGGGCTTTATTGAAAGAAGATTTTTTTCAAGTTTTTACTATACACATATAGTTAAAAACAATGACACCCCTGGGGCGGGGCCAGTTTTGACCCCAGGGCTTTTATTTGAACAAACTTTGTAGACACTTACTAGAAGATGTTTCATGCTTAATATCTAAACTCTAGCTATTTGGGTTTTTTCAAAGAAGATTTTTAAGTTTTTGCTTTACACATATAAAGAAAATCAATGACCCCACGGGCGGTGCCAATTTTGACACCAGGGCTTTTATTTGAACAAACTTTGTAGACACCCATTAGAACATGTTTCATGCTTAATATCTTAACTCTAGCTATTTGGGTTTTTTCAAAGAAGATTTTTTAAGTTTTTGCTATACACATATAAGGAAAATCAATGACCCCCTGGGGCGGTGCCAATTTTGACCCCAGGGCTTTTATTTGAACAAACTTGGTAGACACTTATTAGAACATGTTTCATGCTAAATATCTTAGCTTTAACTCTTTTGGTTCTTTAAAATGAGATTTTTTAAGTTTTTACTATATGCATATAGGGAAAATCAATGACCCCCTGGGGTGGGGCCAATTTTGACCCCAGGGCTTTTATTTGAACAAACTTGGTAGACACCTATTAGAACATGTTTGATGCTAAATATCTTAGCCATAGCTCTTTGAGTTCTTGAAAAGAAGATTTTTTAAGTTTTTACTATATGCATATAGGGAAAATCAATGACCCCCCGGGGCGGGGCTAATTTTGACCCCAGGGCTTTTATTTGAACAAACTTGGTAGACACCCATTAGAACATATTTCATGCTAAATATCTTAGCTCTAGCTCTTTTGGTTCTTTAAAAGAAGATTTCTTAAGTTTTTACTATATGCATATAGGGAAAATCAATGACCCCCCGGGGCGGGCCAATTTTGACCCCAGGGCTTTTATTTGAAAAAACTTGGAAGACACTTATTATAACATGTTTCATGCTAAATATCTTAGCTTTAACTCTTTTGGTTCTTTAAAAGAAGATTTTTTAAGTTTTTACTATATGCATATAGGGAAAATCAATGACCCCCTGGGGTGGGGCCAATTTTGACCCCAGGGCTTTTATTTGAACAAACTTGGTAGACACCTATTAGAACATGTTTGATGCTCAATATCTTAGCCATAGCTCTTTGAGTTCTTGAAAAGAAGATTTTTTAAGTTTTTACTATATGCATATAGGGAAAATCAATGACCCAATGGGGCGGGCCAATTTTGACCCCAGGGCTTTTATTTGAACATACTTGGTAGACACCCATAAGAACATGTTTCATGCTAAATATCTTAGCTCTAGCTCTTTTGGTTCTTTAAAAGAAGATTTCTTAAGTTTTTACTATATGCATATAGGGAAAATCAATGACCACCCAGGGCGGGGCCAATTTTGACCCCAGGGCTTTTATTTGAACAAACTTGGTAGACACTTATTAGAACATGTTTCATGCTAAATATCTTAGCTTTAACTCTTTTGGTTCTTTAAAAGAAGATTTTTTAAGTTTTTACTATATGCATATAGGGAAAATCAATGACCCCCCTGGGGCGTGGCCAATTTTGACCCCAGGGCTTTTATTTGAACAAACTTGGTAGACACCTATTAGAACATGTTTGATGCTAAATATCTTAGCCATAGCTCTTTGAGTTCTTTAAAAGAAGATTTTTTAAGTTTTTACTATATGCATATAGGGAAAATCAATGACCCCCCGGGGCGGGGCCAATTTTGACCCCAGGGCTTTTATTTGAACAAACTTGGTAGACACCCATTAGAACATGTTTCATGCTAAATATTTTAGCTGTAGCTCTTTTGGTTCTTTAAAAGAAGATTTTTTAAGTTTTTACTATATGTATATAGGGAAAATCAATGACCCCCCGGGGCGGGGCCAATTTTGACCCCAGGGCTTTTATTTGAACAAACTTGGTAGACACTCACTAGAAGATGTTTCATGCCAAATATCTAAGCTCTAGCTAGCTCTAGCTCTTATGGTTTATTTAAAGAAGATATTTAAAGTTTTTTCTTTCGGTTGCCATGGCAACCAGAGTTCTACATGGAATTAAATTCTTTGAACAATTTTTAAAGGTGACCACCAAAGGAACATTCCTGTGAAGTTTGGATGAAATTGGCTTAGTGGTTTATGAGGAGATGTCATTTAAAGTAAAAGTTTACGGACGGACGACGGACGGACACACGGACAGACGGTTGGACGCCGGCCGGACGCCGGACGAAAAGCGATCACAAAAGCTCACCCTGTCACTTTGTGACAGGTGAGCTAAAAAATAATATAATGCACTTAAATGGTTGGGGGTTCATTCATGCAAACTCTGTTGATGAGTGAAGAAAGACCCCCATTGCCCATTCTTGCATTATTTCAGTCACATAAAGGCATCAATTGCCCATCCTATAATCAAGCTAGATTAATCCCTCTGATAAAAAGTCCCTGGCTGTGTTTGGACCTACAGTGTACAAGATATCATCCTGTTCTAATATTATATACATCAAGCTCACCTTTACATACACCTTATCATAATCTTTTTCATTCCAAATCTGAAACAGTGAGATAGACACAGAGTAGATAGGAAATATACATTCAACAAACAACATTGTCATATATATCTTACCTTGATATACGTAGAATCATATTTCTTCTCATTCCATATCTGAAAATCAATATCCAGTTCCAACATTCATCAAGTGTAAAGTTTATATAATAACTGAATAAGACATGTCAGTATGTCAGCATGCTAAACTAATCTCAGTGGTTGATAGTAAAACAAGAGCTTGGATAATGTAAAAAGAGCCATAACTTTATCAAAATCCACATTAGAGTTGTGGGCCTTACAAAGTGGCCTACTATTATGCTCGCAAATACGTGTGTGAAGTTTCAATCCATTCCTTTCCGTAGTTTTAAAGGTATCAACATGCACACAAAAACTTAATCAAAGTATGAAGATGGCACCAATGCTGGGATGGCTCTCCTTTTCCCTGAATAGTCAACATAAAAATCATTAGTTATTAATCATTTGCTAACTAAATAATTTGTTCTAACAGTTGACAGTGTTTCATATCTCCGTCATTACAACATTAAACAGCAATAACTAGAATTACAAAGTACTTAGAACCTGCAAAAATACATACCAATCTGATTCATATTTTGCACTTACCCCTATATAATCAACAGTAACATTATAAAACTTGGCAGCTCCTTTGATCCATTTAATGACATATCCAGCCGTCAGTTTTGGAAACCTGTATGGATTTCTCTCACCCATGGGATTCAACCAGCCAGGAAAACTCCATGGTAACCCATAGATCTTAATATCGGGGTTTCTCTGTAATGGTAAATATATTTTATTTTACTTCATGTATGTATCGTTCCTTTTCATTGGATAATCATAAGTTTATATAGTTTTATTAACAAAACCGTTGTCAATTTATAAAGAAATCTTACTTTTTTCTCTTAACAATGTTACTTGCTGTATATAAATATTTCTGGCAGGTTATATGGCTGTATATAAACAAGTGTTTGCAATATAACCCTTGCCTAGTTACTCCAGTTATATTTCCAAACAATCATTTCTATAGGGCCATATAACCTGTCAAAATTCTTTATAACTAATAATATAATGATTATATCAGCCTTTCCAGAAACTACAGCAGGATTAAGCTACCAGCACACTGCCTTACATTTTGTCTGACCAGACTCAACACTTCTCACATAAACAATTTTAATATCTGTATATAGAAATCCTAAGAATAAGCAATGTTCATTCATTTCAAATTCAGCACAAAACAACTTAACATTGACAAAGACAATGTGGTTAAAGCTTATATACATTTTTTAAAAGTAATATCCATTGAAACAGAATTCGTCTGTAGTATTATCATTACCTTATGCCAAAATTGGAACCTTTTTATTCTTATTATTGTATGTGTGTGTGTGGGAGAGGGGTGGGGAGTGGAAGCAGGAATTACAGGATGGTATGATCATAGAGTACATGTATTGCCTTTTAAAAGTGTCAATAGAAGGTCAAACCTTTTTAGCTTCAACCATTAGCCACCATTCATATCCCCTCTGATAGTTTTCATCATCAGCATTGTGCATGTGCGAAGCTTCTGTCCCATCTACAAACAACAAATAAGAATACTGACTTAAATTCTAAGCAACAGATAAAAGTTAATAACAAGAGCTGTCGGTAGGACAGCACGCTCGACTATTCTAATTGCTTGATAGTAAAAGAGCCTTGATAATGTTTAATTTTTTAAGTTCACAAAAGGGCTAATTTTTTTTATAAATTCATGTTATAGGTCTTAGAGAGAGTCTAATTATACAGTATTTGCTTGACTATTTGGAAGGTAATGTCACAAGGGTGCTTTATTGAGTATAATGATACTAATTACCTATGAATATGTAAAATTGACAGAAAAGGTACAAAGGCTTGTTATTAAGATGTTTTATCAAGTAAATCACTGCTTTATTATTACGAATGCATAAAATTGTCCCAAAAAAGGCACAAACCCTTCAGTAGTTATGGAGATAACAGCTTACAAGCAAAACTTTACCATGAATTTTTTAAGTTGAAAAAAGGAAGAAAAATCAGCCTAAATGCAAGATAGAATTATGGATCTTTGTCAGTAACCTACAATTATGACCCTAAATGCATATGTGAAGTTTTAAATAAATATCTTTAATAGTTATTGAGATATGTAAAACTTGCATGTAAACATTAACCAAGAGACTAAGTAGAAAAGGGGATATGAATCAGCCTTAATGCAAGATAGAGTTATTGAACTTGGTCAGTGACATACAATTATGACCCTCAAATTATAACCCTAAGTACATGTGTAAAGTTTCAAGTAAATATCTTTGAAGACCTTTAACCTTTAACCAAAATCTCTAAGTTTCAAAGGGGCAAATAATTCTGCAAATATTGCAGACAGAGATATGCAATTTAGCAAAATGATGTACATTGTTACTATAAAAAAGTATTGTAAATTTCAAATGAATATCTCAAGCAATAATTGAGATATTTGACTTTACAAAAAAACTTTAACCAAAATTTCTAAGGTTCAAAGGGGCATAATTCTGTCAATATTGTACGCAGAGTTATCCAACTTGTCAATCTGATGTACCTTGTTACTATAAATAAGTATTGTATTAAGTTTCAATTGAATATCTCAAGCAATAATTGAGATATTTGTCTTTACAAAAACTTTAACCAAAATTTCTAAGTTAAAAAGGGGCATAATTCTGTCAATATTGTAGGCAGAGTTATCCAACTTGTCAATCTGATGTACCTAATTACTATTAATAAGTATTTTAAGTTTCAATTGAATATCTCAAACAATAATTGAGATATTTGTCTTTATAAAAAACTTTAACCAAAATTTCTAAGTTAAAAAGGGGCATAATTCTGGCAATATTGTAGATAGAGTTATCCAACTTGTCAATCTGATGTACCTTGTTACTATAAATAAGTATTGTAAGTTTCAATTGAATATCTCAAGCAATAATTGAGATATTTGAATTTACAAAAAACTTTAACCAACGCAGACGCCGACGCGGACGCTGACGCCGACGCCGGGGCGACTACAATAGCTCTCATATTCTTCGAATAGTCGAGCTAAAAATTAGGCCTTCAAAACCAAAATGTGAACATTATGATGCTACAAACAGGGAGGCTTACAGCTTATCAGTAAATTGACAGTTTCCTATTGCCAACTATTAATGGCTAACAATGAGCATAAGTTTATATGAAGTTGACACTCAGAACATGCAGAGTTGCTGACATTATAAATTTTCAATTATTGCAGAGGTTACAAAAATAAATAAAATTATTTAACAAGGTGATGTTTAAGTGACTGACTGAGCATTATAGAGAAGCTATTCAACACAAAGTAAATGACATAGCAATTATACAGTGTACTTCAATAAAACCACTTAAGGCACATGGTCACATTAAGAAGTTAGACTGTACACTAGGACTTTGTATTCATGTATATGTTTGCACTTTACTGGTTGAAATAAATGTATTGATACTAGCCAGTTCAAAAAATGGAAGCTGACGGTTGTTAACAAAAACAAAATACATCACATGTTTAAACTAATACCTGTACTTTGCCCATCTCCTCCAATCTCCACTTTCAAGATATGTAGAGAAGCACCAAAGTTCGGCTGAAATTGAAATAAAAATCTTACACTCTTTGGTAAAGCCAAACAAAAACCAATTTTGTTCTGGTCTCATTACTGACCACATTTAACAAAAGTCAAATTATCATTGTACAATTTGAATGTACTGACAGTAAAGCCCATGAATCTATTCATCAAAGTGAGTACCTAAAGCCTTAATTATATTATATATTGCCCACTGGAACCTACAATACATGTACTTAAATCTTTTCAAAATAAAAAACAAAACTTTTTTGCAGAGAGATATTTTGAAATGAAAAAAAAAATGTTGACAAATAATGCAATACAAGTAATGCAGGGCCTTTTCCAGCTACTTTGGGAATAGGCCTCTGGCATAAATTGGGAAATATTATTTGATATTTTGGTAAATTTGAGAAATTTTTAAAGTTCAAAAACCACCAAATACATGACTTGTAAGTTTTTAAACATGTGTATTATCATATAACCTGCATCCTCTTTTAAATACAAGAAATTGGCGAACAAGGGAGGCTTATATGGATTCGATTTGAGCCTTATTTTTGTCCCTTGTGATAAGGTGAAAACTGCCCTGTAATGTTATGACTACAATGGACTAAGGTTATTACCAAGAGGTTAATACTTGGTCACTGCTTGCCAGTATGGTATAATGACCCAAAGATGTCCATAATGGCCTGCGGGCTGAACATGCACTCATTCATTCGCTCATTATGCAAAAAATAATGCCAAGTAACAAGGCAGGTGAAATTGCATAATGACCTAGATTTTGCCATAATGACCTTGAAATATCCTTGATTTTGTTACTATATATAGTAACATAGGTATCATAAGGAATGTTATGCTTAATTATGTATTATAAATGATCAAAGTGACCAATATAGTGGCTTGCCGCGAGTGAGTCACTTACTTTACTGTATGAGGTAACAGGTGGCCTTTTATACAGGTTTGACTGCATATTTCATCATAAGAAAAAATTCAAGCACAAAATGTACCTTAAACAAATAGTCCAAAATTTCACTCCTCTGTGGCTCAGGATAATTTATTAACAGCTTGGATGTCGCCTGAAATAAAACCAGACAATGATACATTGATTACTTATGTAGCAATATAAATGTATTATAAGGAATGAATGTGAGTGAATCTATTATTTGCACTTTCACAGGCTGTTAATTCTATAGAAACTAAATCGTCAAGTATGTACATTTGTTATTATACACTAGAAAATGCAAGATGTTGTCAGTAAAAAAATCAAAATTCATAGTATAAAGTCTGCAAATTAATATATCATCAAACCTGGAGAAAAGCTTTTAGTTAACATATAAACAATAATATTCTTATATATGAAATAACATAAAGCTTCAATTGTGACAGGCTCCTGGATTTCAGGGGCCTAGCGGTGTATCTGGGTAAACAACTCTTTGTTACTGTTATACATGGGCAATGTCCAACAACAAGGATAAGACACTAGAATAATGTACCCTTTACCTGCGGGAACTGAAAAGTCTTTGCCAGCATTAAGGAGCCAGGCCAGTCTGCTTATCTGTGCAGTTCAGCCTGTCTTTATTTTGATATTAAATTCTTTTAAAACTTTTTTTCAAAAATTGAACTGAACAGTTTGAAGTCCAAAAACTGAGCAATTCAATTTTACAAATTCTGATAGTTAGAGGTTAGGATTCATGTAAAATAAACAATTTCAGACATATAACTATACAAGTTCTTTAACTACTACATGAAAATACACCAATCATAATAAATATACGGACCAATAACTTAGAGCAAAGCTCATTTTTTATGATTTTATCAAAATATTTAGCCTTGGTTCCAGTCTGTCTATTTTTTGTTATGTTTCTGTTTGGCAAATCGACAGCCTGGGGAAATACAATTTCTGACTGTAGCGCCACCTGGTATACACCCGGAAATTTGGGGGTGTGATTTCAAGAACGATAACTCGAGCAGCTACAAACTAGTTTCTTAAAATAGAAACGGAATCTCCACAAAGTAATCCGAAAGTAAACAAACAGTCACGGAGCCTTGCTTTCATTACTGCACCATTTCCGATTGAAAATTGACAATATTTGACACTCGACAACAAATTAAATTTATCAGTTTATTGCATGATGAGTGAATTTGATGAACACGTTAGATTAGTCAAAGACAAAGTCCGTGTTATTGAAGTCAGAGAGCACCAGAGAAATATGTTGGAAGCAGTATATAATGGAAAAAGACGTATTTTTTATGGCTCCTACCGGTTCTGGTAAATCGTTGTCGTATGAAATATTCCCAATTTTATCAGATTTACGAACGGGAAAATCTGACTCTATGGTTATTGTTGTTAGTCCATTGACAGCGTTAATAGACTCTCAAATTGAAAAACTGAAATCATGTGGACTTTGTGCTATTTCGATTAAGTCACGTGACTTGTTGGTCACGTGCTAATTGGTCTATTAATAGGATTATCATCAGCCGATAATTACATGGGAAACCCCGCAGGTTTCCCCAGGCGTTGATACTATCAAAACGACGAACGAATACGGAATAGGGCATATGTTATGAATAAAGAAAAAAAATGTTATAAATAAGCAAAAACTATCAACGCCTGAATCCCAGGCTACAAAATATTATTAAGGTCACATGTATGTACATGGAAGATCAATATAGTTAAATATCCTACAACCCACACTTACATGTGACCAAAACCAAAGTGCAAGTGTTTATGTCTAATTGACAATTATTCAGAGTGCTATTAATTTCAATAAGCAAACATTTATGAGGTTCAAGGTCATGGTCAGACAATAAAATCATTATAAGCACTTTTAAAGTGTTATATTCAAATTTGTTGTAGTATAGTATAAAAAACATCTTTCTATGTTTTTACCTAAATTGTAATAAAACAAAATAAAAACAGGTTGTGACACCCATATTAGTAGTTATAAAGATTTTGACAGGTTATACCGTTGTTTAGAAATACAGTGGCTTGGTTATATAACAAACAACCATTTATATGTGGTCATATAACCTATCAGGAATATTTATAAAAATTACAATACAAAGTAAGATTTGTTTTTAAATTGACAGCAGCCACTTATATAAAACTATATAAACCTCAAGATTTTCCCACGAAAAGCAACATTACAAACGTGCATCATTTAAACGTAGCATTCACATTGAAAAGAAGACTGAATGTATTTTCCTATACTAGTTACATAAAGTCTATGTGTTGTATATTAACTAACTGACCCCCCTGATGCTACATGTAAAATATCAAAACTCTTGACATTTTACTTTCAGAGAATAAGTTCTTTAAGACATTTTTACTATTCAAGTCTATGTATGTCAGAGAGTGTTTCAATGAGTACATGTATATTCAAAGGGAGTGGTGGCCTAGTGGTAAAGGTGTCTTCCTCTCAACCCGGGGATCATGGGTTTAGTTTAAACATATCTATTGCAATATTTCACCATATTTTATGTGAATATAATTATTACATATCATTGAAAGGGATTTGAACGAAACAAAACTTATATACACATCAGTGTTGTTTGTGCTGTGTGGAGGCCGTAAAAAGTTGCCCCGTACATTCAATTGAGGATGTTATATTTCAGATCCTGAAAGATCTTTCAGCACAACATGATTGTTGTGATTGTGGTATTTTTAGTTTTTTCTATTTTTCAGCTATTTTCTAGTTGGTTGATTCAAGTATTCCCCAACTTAAATACTGTTTAATCACCCTTAGGATATGTGGCCTGCTTTTTAACTTTGTCTTTTGACAGCTTATGTGTGATATGCAGGCTTCATAACCTCTGATCCTTTTTCAAATTCCCATTATATTTAGTTCCACCCATTGTTTTCTTGTTTAGGGCACACACATTCTTTTACTTGGGGAACATACGCTGCTTTTCATGGAATAGCACTAACATGTCACATTGAAAGTTCCATGATAACCACTATATGAACACATCTGTGGATGTTTCAAAAATTCTAAATTTTACCATTTCATGATAAATGTTGATAAATGCTTAAACCGGTGCTAGGGGTGTGTGAACGGTAACTTGCACTTTCCAATACAGTTCATAAAAAGGCTCAATCAAACCAAGCCTGCAACATTTTCAAATTTGTCATTTTGAGCGTTCATTAGGGATTTTTAATAACTCTATTTTATTTAGTTCCTCTCCCTATCATGGGTTTGAGCCTTACTATGGCACAACCATGTTTCTTTAAATGACACACTGGTACTGGTAATCCTATACATATGACGTCGCTTTGAGATATTTTTGCTTATTGGCAAGTCAAAGCAACGTCATATTGAAATTGCTCAAAAACCAATAGCATGACATTCTGCAAGAAAAACAGGCTGAACAAAAAATCACTTTAAATCAGCGTATAATTACATTGATTTTGACCTATATATGAACAAAAGAAAAAATAAATACCTTTCAACAAAATAAATAAACAAACAACGCAACAGGAGAAATAGACATCAAGATTATCGCCGTTTTACTCCATTTACATAATCTTTCAACAAATTCAAACTAGCTCCCCAGCTTTTCCGTATGCAAATGGACCGCGCTTGGGAACCAACATATTACCGAATGGCTAATGAGTATAGCTGATATGTTTAAACTATATAATATATTATCCTGTTTTCTAGTATTCTCGGGGGGTTGAGGACTAAACTTGGTTGCATAATATTTATAAAACATTCTGTTACAGTATTTTTAGCCTGATACACAGAGAAATTACTTATTAACAAAATACAAAGAAAGAAAGATCGTAACTGTAAGCAAAACTAAAGATATTTCTGCTTGTATATACTGACCTTCACCCTCTGTGTGAAGCAGGTGCTTTCTCGTATTCTCGTGGAATTTGATTGGTTGTTAAGGCTGGTCGCTATGTGATGATTTTATTCTACATACCAGTTCAAATCATTAGTGCCACACCTAATTAAGTGTTAAATGGCCTAAATCTGTAATTTTATTGTGTTTTAATAACAGCTTGGCAGGCCATATCAAACTTTAAGGATCATATTGACGCCTCTTTGGTACCAAATGATTTTGATTGTTCCAAAAAAAGTTTGAACTCCATTTAGTGTTGTTATTTACATTATCTCTCTAATATATATTAAGTTTACGTTTATTTATTAGTTACTTATTAGTTATATGAACATTAAACAATGAATACTACTGTTTTCCATTGCAGTTGTCAAAAATGAAATGGGTTTAGGACAAACAATGTTTCATTATTGGTTTTTAATTGGAGTTCATATCTTTTTTATACTATCTATTCGTGGAACAAATATTTTGAGCTGTATTGTATAAATAGTAGTGTGAGACCGTCATTTGAAGCGTCTTGCGTCAGAGACCCGCTACAGGTTTCTGCAACATGGAAAAAACTAGAAAATTGATGATTTTTGGGGGGAAATTGATAAATTTAATGTTTATTCTCTGCATTTTACGATTATTTCCACGGTTATTTTGGTTTTTTATCTGTTTTTGTCGCATTTCTTTTATTTTTTTAATGGAGATGAAAATGCTCTGCTAAATAGACATGTTTTCGGATATCGACGGAAGTCGCGAGCGTCGCTTCCATCCGTTTTAATGATTCCACGAGAATACGAGAAACCCCGAGAATACGAGAAACAGGGATACCTGTAGGATGATTCTGGGCTCTGATGGAATGTGGGTCAATTTCCGACATTATTGGCTTCACTTACATGACTTTTGTAGATGTATCCTGAACTGAGATGAAAATGAATGATTTTAGACAGAAAAAAAAAACCCTAGAGGTAAATCTACATAATTGATCTACCATACTTAAAAAAAATGGGATTATGTAAACGAGGCATTCCGTTACTTGTTCACCGTTTTGCAAATAAAACATAATTTACCCCTCCTCCACTAATCCCTCCTATTCCGTCAAAGCGTCTACCAAAACCTTTTCTGTCATCTATTTGATACATGTCAGTGTATCCTAATGACACGGCAATAAAATGCATGAAAATGTGAATTTTATTCATCAGCATCATTATTTTCTTGTACAAGTGCGATATAATGGCGTAATTGAAACAAAGGGACACAACTGATGGGAAACGGTTTAGGCCGCTATTCCATTTATACCTGATCAGTGGTCCGCGTCCGTCATCCGCATCCGTTACCGATTCGCTAATCAAAGAATACGTTGAATCTATTCCTTTTCGCTTCCGCGACGGCATCCGCGACGTTTCGCAGGATGAGCGATTTTTTACGGACGCGGACAGTCACTGACATGTCTCATCCCTACAAAATGCCTCGAACGAAATTAAATACTTTATCGATTTCGAAAGAAAATACTAAAGAAGTCACCAAAATAGTGTAGGAGAACATATAAGTTTATGATGCAGCAATGACAGATTAAAAAAAACAACATCTGGTCATCGGTTGCTAAAGAGATGTTATTTGAAAACCTAACTGATATTCAATGTTTGTTACCTAATTCTTTGATGTTACAACTGTTTTTGGTATTAGAATGAAATTATATCATATTCTACAAATAATTATCCTCTCTTCGCTATACTTCAATTAAAAGTATATAGAAAATAACGTACCTATGGAATAATACCCACGGACATGCCCGGACACGGATCACTGACGCGGACCACTGATCACGTATAAATGGAATAGCGGCCTTAGGCAACAGCTAATTAAAGTCCGGCATATTGAACGTGCGCCCCAGGTATCAAAAGGTGATGTGCAAATTTGCAATTAACATTATGGGACTATTTTAAATATATTTAAAATATTTAATTATTGACGACAGCTTCCCTGTTATGTATTCGTCAGTATTTTCTTCTAGCCTAATATTTAACAAGCTTTCTTATTGGATATTCATATCTCGTTTTTTGATTGGTTGTAGTAGTTTATTTAACGGCACTGCCAGTAATTCGCGCCACTTCTTGATTTTTGTTTGTAAGCGTCACTGTTTGAACAACATTTTTGGTAGTTTGTAACAAGAAGAATTGAATTATCAATTGTACAAGATGATGTCTTCGTTTGAAATGTAAAAGCTAAAGAAGTTTTCGATCAAACTTTCATAGCCTTTTGGCTAGGAGGGTAACGAACATTTTATTTGTATTGTGAACTGTTGAACTGTTGTATGCAGCAGAGCAGAATTGTTGCCAAAGTTTTTCATCTTAGAAGAATCGAGTTTTGTTGAACTTTTTGGTATTTACTTCTGTTTGAGAAGAATTGGTATGCAGCCAGAGTATTTCCAATATGTCAAATTTGCGTAAGGGAAACAGGCCAAATTACCGAAAAATGCACGAAGGGAACGCAGATTCGGATCCAGAGCCGTGGGATCTTTATAGTGGGATTGAAGAGTCCTTAGATAAAAGCTGTCCTCCTGCCAGTGTAATGAGCTTTTTAGGAGTGTTATTTAATACTTCAGAAATGACCATGGAGATCACTCCAGACAGACTGGAAGAAATTAATATTCTTCTTTCACTTTGGTTACATAAAGAAAAAGCCTCTATTAAGGAAATACAGTCCTTACTGGGTAAACTGAATTTTATTGGCTCTTGTGTTAAATCCAGTAGGGTGTTTGTTAGTCGGTTGTTAAACTGGTTAAGAGATTTGCATGGTTCTCCCAGTAATATGAATTTTGATATTCCTCAGGAGGTTACAAAAGATATCCTGTGGTGGGGTACATTTTTACCTTTATATAATGGAGTATCTTTGATTTCACTGGGCTCGTGGTCAGAGCCAGATGCTATATTTTCTTCAGATTCATGTTTAGAATCTTGTGGTGGTTTTTGGAAGGGTAATTTCTTTCATTCTGTTTTTCCTTCTTTTATTTTAGGAAAACAGTTACATATTGGGGCCCTTGAAATGTTGTCTTTGGTTGTATGTGTTCATTTATGGGGAAGCAATTTTAAGCACAAGCGTATTTTAGTTCTTTGTGATAATTTGTCAGTCTGCATCACTTTAAATACTGGGAAATCACGTTGTCCTTTTTTGCAGTCTTGTCTCAGAGAGATTTGTTATTTTGCGGCAATTAATGAATTTGAAATTAAGGCACAGCATTTACCCTCAGAACATAATCGAATAGCAGATCATTTATCAAGATGGGGTTTGAATCCAATTCATGAAATACAGTTTAAGTTGTTAACCAATGAATATGATTTGCTAGAGTGGAAAGTTGATGAGTCTGTGTTTCATTTTGTCAACAATTGGTAATGTGGATTTTAAGTCTTCATTGTATATATGTTTTCAGAGAATCATCTTGAAGTACTCAAAATGGACTTAAAGAAATCCAACAAAAGAGCCTATGCTGTTGGTTCTCGTAGGAACTTAAGGGTTCAATGGGAATCTTTTTTATTGATTTGTTTGTTTTTTTTAATTTTGTAGTTTACCTACTTCAACTGAAACATTGCAACTATATGCTCAGTTTCTTAGCAGGTCCTTTAAATCTGTAGATTCAATTAAAAATTATATCAGTGGTGTAAGATCTGTCCATCTGTTATTAGGTTGCAATATTGAACATATAAACAACTTTTTGCTTAATTTGTCTCTTAAGGGTATTGCTTAAAGCATTCCGCACATAGTTAAACAAGCAGAACCCATAACTCCAGATATTTTGATGAGTATTCATTCATTTTTGGACTTTTCTAGTATTGACAATTACACATTCTGGTGTTTATTTCTTTTTGCCTTTTTCTTAATGGCCAGAAAATCTAATCTTGTTCCAACTAGTTCTAAGGATTTATCTGAGCCTAAATTTTTACTTAGGAAGGATGTTTCTTTTGATGATAGTACATTGTTAGTTTCTATGAAATGGACTAAAACTATTCAAGCTGGGGAAAGGATTCTTATCACTCCTTTGTCTCCAATAATTGGTTCTGTTTTGTGTCCTGTTGAGGCTTATAAGAATATGATAATTCACATTCCTGCGTCCAATCATTCTCCTTTATTTGTGTTGAAATCAAGTAAGCCAGTTACCTACTATAAGTTTCTTCTTAAACTGCGCTCAGTTATTGAGGGTATTGGTTTAGATTCAAAACTATACTCCACTCATTCTTTTAGAAGAGGTTTTGCAACTCTGGCATTTAGACTAGAAATTCCACCAGATTTGATCCAACTAATGGGTGATTGGCGTTCTGATGCTTACAAAAGATATATTCAATATGATATTAAAGATAAAATTAAAGTTTCTCGTTTTGTTAGTAAAAACCTGTTAAGTTATAAAGGAAAAGTTTAATTATTGTCTCAGATTGTAGTATATTTAGGTGGCTTTAACAGTTTATTACAGTATTGTGTAGAATTGCAAAGAATATTGATTATGCGTTTCGTCCTTGCGGAGAAACTTGTCTATTGTCGGTAGGATGTCTTAACCTTCCGGATAGATTTGATATTCAAATATCAGCATATCATATTTTTCGCTTCTTTGTCTACATTTTTATTTGTTTTAGGTTGCTTTAACAGTTTATTGCAGTTTTTTGTAGAATTGCAAAGAATATTGATTATGCGTTTCGTCCTTGCGGAGAAACTTGTCTATTGTCGGTAGGATGTCTTAACCTTCCGGATAGATTTGATATTCAAATATCAGCATATCATATTTTTCGCGTCTTTGTCTACATTTTTATTTGTTTTCATCACCTTTTCTTTGTTATTAGTATTTTATTTTTCTATTTTCTATTATTTTTATTTATTTATTATTATTATTATTTTTTTTTTTTTTTTTTTTTTTTTTTTTTTTTTTTTTTTTTGCAGAAATTCGTCCTGTTGTTATTATAGGAGATTCCATCATTAAAAATATTTCTCCGATCGAGGGAGTCAAGATCCAGTCCTTTCCTGGTGCATCTATTGGCAGATTAGCTTATTTGGTTAGTCAACACAAAATTGATTTGTATGACAAAAGCTTTATTATTGTTCATGTTGGCACTAATAATATCAGTAATCGACAGTCAATTCATTCTATCGGCTCTGATTTTGCCAATTTGATTGCATCTATTAGGCATGAAAATCATTCTATTAAGATTATTATTTCTTCTGTTCTCCCTCGACCGGTGGATCATTCTGATACAGACATTAAAATCAAAGAATTAAATCATTTTCTTGAAGATGTTTTGGCTTCAGATCTGAATTTTAAATTCATAAGATCATACCGACCATTTTGTTTTAAAGGTCAAGTTAAAAGATTTTTATTTGCTAAATTAGATGGTGGGCTTCATTTGAACACAGAAGGCTCCAATCGTCTTAGGCATTTTTTCTTACGTGTGATTTCCACTTTACCACGTTAGTTGTTCAGTTAAAATTCTTAGGATACTTGATACTTTGTCTTTTGTATTATATAATATTTTGTCAATTTTATTTCTGTTTGTTGTAGACTTAAGATATAAGGCCAGTATAAGATTATTAGGTAAGAGGCTACTTCAGTTTAATTTCCTTTGCATGTTAATTTGTGCTTTATTTATGTTTGCTTTGCCTTTGCTTATTTTGGCTGTTGTTTGGCGGGTATTTATGCTTGTTGCATTTATGTTCAACATTATCTGTATTGCATGTTCGTTTAATTATCTGTTAATTGAATTGTCTTCTTGTATTGCATGTTTGCATACTTATCTGATAATTGAATAGTCTTACATGTATTGCTTGTATTGCTTGTATAGTTATTTGTTAATCTAATAGTCTTACAGTGACGCACATTCATTCATTAAAATTTAATTATTACTTTGATTTGAGTTGTTATTTAGCAAGGATAATAATTGGACTATTTTAAATATATTTAAAATATTTAATTATTGACGACAGCTTCCCTGTTATGTATTCGTCAGTATTTTCTTCTAGCCTAATATTTAACAAGCTTTCTTATTGGATATTCATATCTCGTTTTTTGATTGGTTGTAGTAGTTTATTTAACGGCACTGCCAGTTATTCGCGCCACTTCTTGATTTTTGTTTGTAAGCGTCACTGTTTGAACAACATTTTTGCCCGCCCGCCCTTCAACAAACCCATTTATGTAGTTGTTTTATTATTATTATCTATTTATTTTTTTTTTTCTCCCGTTTTGTTTTTACATTCATAT